AGAGCAAAAATTAAGTTGCAAAATTTGAAACGTATGAAGATTTTACCTTGCATTTTTATTAGTTCATTGTCTAATAGCAATCTCGTCATTTTCTTGAATGAAATGACGTAAGAATAGATAACAGTTGGTCACAAATACGTACAATCGGTCATTTTGTTTTCCTTCTGTTCGATATCGACCAAAATATATATCATTTGTCGCTCTAATCAGTATTTATTTTCCAAAATGTTTTTAGATTTGGCAAAAAAAATTTACAATAAAATATTCTTTAAATAATAGACAATTATTTCATCTGATTTATATTAATATATCATCAATATATTTTGTATTAAAAGTGTTTTCTTATTTTCCATTAGATTTATATCATTAATTACTGGAATTTTTGATATTATACATGTCTGAAGAAAAAGCTTCCGGATCAGAACATCTTTCTAGCTAGTTAATTATCATAGCGTTTGTGTGAAATCAAAAATTTCGAAGAGGTTAATGTCATACATAACTCAATAATGAATGTTTAGTCTCCGAAGAAAAATATTAGTGCCTCGTTAAGGTAAACGATAGTTTTATTATTATAAGATCATAGGAAACGAGTTTTCTTATATTTTAAATATATCCTAATTTATTTTCAATTTAGAATAATGCCTATGCCTTTCTTCCGTTGAAAATGTATGATTGTTTATGTTAGTACCATAACTTTCAGGACTTTATCCTAAATAATATTTTATATTAGTTGAGCATCAACATTACACTTAATATAGTATAGAAGAATTCTTAAAAACGTATTTCTAATTCGTTTCGCACATATCACATTATTAACATACAACAACTATTTATGTCAAACAATTATTGGATGGATGTCAGCGGCGGCGGATCACACTATCAAAAATTTCCATTCGCGGCAGTGGTTGAACTTGCTTTTTTAGTGGCGGTTGCTGAAAAATGAATAAAATTATCTATGATTTGGTGGCTGCGGCGGCTCAGCCATACGGCTGACACCCTCTAAGTATGTTTGGGTTTGGGCCCTTATTCAGAATAAATATTTTCTTGTGGGTTAATTGATGATAGATAAAAGATATTATACCGATCATTGAAATTTATACCTAAAAAGCTTCAGTATTTTCAATGAAATTAATTCATACATATTCAAAAGAGGGAAAAGATAGTTTGTATTGTCCGCGTATCTGTTTCCCTATTTCTGAATTGTGTTCGTCTTCTCTCTCTCTTTGTTTCTTTTCGAACAAAAATTCAACGACAACAACAGCATCCTAAGAAAGAAAAAAAGAGAAAGAATTTCCTTTATATTATGCATATCAGACTGAAATAATATATAGTACAGTCTAAACATTGAATATCCAACAATAAAGTTTTATTCTTCATATTAGAAAGTACGAGTCAAAGAAAATAATGCAATCGTCTTGTCTTTTTTTTCCATAGAGATAACTTTGACGTTGACACAAAAGATTCATCATTCATCGATATAATGTTTATCCTACAATATTTTCTCCCTTTAATATTAAATACGTGCGAGAGTTTTAACTTTTCAGTCGAGAAAAGATTTGCTGTCCAATCGAGTAGAATCAAAATTTTAATCTTTCTTTGTCAAACATTGAACAACAAAATTGATGGTAAGAATTAAACTCAGAGAAAGACGAAATTTTTCCTTTTTACATTCGCATTGAGAATGAATTTTATGGTAAGTTGATGATCTTGCATTTTCATATCAACCTTTTATGGATAGAAAATAATTTTGTCGAGTTCTTTTAATTGCATGTTGGACCATAAGTAGCATTGGGATAACAAACTTGAAATATTTCTGTTTAAATTAACTATAATTCCAAAAATTCGCTCTACGTGTATCAATGTTGTATGACTTATAAAGTCTGTTTTGATCTCTTATTATTCTTTCCTAGATAACTGAAAATAATCCGTGAAACACTACACATATATTTTGCTGACTCTGTTGAACAACAATGATAGTTAATAGTACTATTGGTTACCTTACCCATATGAACAATGGCGAATTAAAAAAAGACAGGACGATCATTCCTCTTCCAGAATACTTTTTTCGATTTTTCATAGTAGAGAAGATTAAAAGTGAGCGGATACTATTTATGGTCGCCTTCTCGGTCTTCGCTGAAGTATCTTCTATCAGAAAAACCCTGGAACTGTCATTGTCTAAAGTAAATCTTCAATAAACTTTTGCTGCCAACCAAAAAAAGTAGTTCATTCGATTGAACCATAGACGACGATATTTCAATTTTTTATCGCAGCGTTATTTATGGTCAACCTTATACATTTCTTTTTGTGAAGTAGTAGAAATCGTCTAGTTTTGGACAAATATTATTCTGCTTTTCAAATCATTTTTTACTATTATTTTTCTGTTTTTTTTTCTTGTATAAATTGAATTATAAGCAGCGGTGTTTCGAGGAGAGATGGTGGGACAAGATATAACTTCTACAATAATGGAAACTCGTCGATGCGTCGTTGAAAAACATAAAGTTTATCTGCAGCTCGAGGTAACGTGTGATTCTTTACGATGAAATTCATCTTAAACGAAAGTTTTTGCCGTAAGACTTAAGTGCTATGGGAAATTTTCGAGTAATGATCACGAGCGTAACCACCCACCTCCAGTGGTTAAATTGGGCCAGTTTTTGGTGACGATCCAATCTCAGATAAAAGTTTTTTGTTGGTCCGACCCCAAGTCAAAGATAGCTTTTGACAACTCAAAGCAAGTTTTCTCACACGTTTACAATCGTATCAGCGGATCTGTACAAATCATCAATGTCCAAAATAAGAAATGATTTTCTCATCTAAAATCGCTCTTTATCTTATGCGAAGTTTCGAATCAGTCAATTTTTGTGATTCGACTCAATCCGATCCGACTTCACAAAAAATAACAGTTCCATAAGTGTAATAACTTCTAGATTTAGTCAATTTTTCCTTTGAAAAAGTATAATTTTTAGTCGAGTCTTCGCTAGTGTGGCTTTCTTCTGAAACAAAAGTCTTGAAAAATTCTGTTCAATGAGAGATGAAGACTTTTCCTCGAGAACTTGGAAGAGAAAGATCTGATACAAAAACTGCTGGTTTCTTGAATTTGAGATGCCAAGGGATCAGAGATGGAAGCAGCCCAGTTTACCAGCCAACCGTATGTAGAGTAGTAATGACCGATCTACTTTATTTACTTTCCTGGGTTTATTATACGAATTTATTCAGAACTGATATTCGTTCCACTGGTATCTCATTGTGAATGAGTGATGAAATCTCGTTGAAAATTGAATACATTAAAGAATATAATCCAGATATGGGGCATGTACCGGTACAGATTTTAGATCGATTGGTAGACTGTTGGCCTCCGTCTTATTTGACCTCATCGGATTGGTTTAGTTGTGAAAAGCCTAGACGGGTCCTATTTATACTTGAGATATTCCTGCTTATAAGAGGGCTAATTTGGTTATTTAGTTTGTAAAATTGTCGAGATTTTTTAATAGGATAAAATATGTTGTGTTTTATCTTAGTTTTGATTAGGAGTATATTGAACTATGTTAAAAAGTACATATATTTGAAATTAGACAAAAGAAATTCATTTAATGATACAATTATAGAAAACTTCTTTTAAGTTATAATACTCAAACTCAGCTTCTTATACTTTGAAAAACACACTTCTGACATTTTGCTTTTATTCATAGGAATATTGCTGTTAGAGACGCAGAATCCACTCGTAAGCTGTGGAAGAATGGCGTCGTTAGGTCAAATAGTTCACTACAAAATATATAGGGGAAGAAAAGCTCTAAGTAGAATGGGAATAGCTTTTCCCACTTAAATAAGTAAGAATATACTTTTTCCAAAAAGACAATTCAACTTTTGTTACTGGACAAACGGAACTTTCTTAAGTTAATTTTAACAATGTTTTTTGGTAAAGATGCGTAATGGACACTTGTTCGTGAGACAAGCTGAAATAAATACTTGGTAACAGGTATGAGTATATTCGATGAGGCTGTAGAGTTTATGTCGAATCTTATGGCAGTTAAATCGAAAGCGAAGGCAACATGATTTATACAGACACCGACACTAGAATAATCCTTGATGATTGACAGTATTTCGATTTAAAGGAATGCCGTAGTTGGTAGAGCGTAATTTGTTTCTGTTTTGTAAACTAGATTTTGACTATTTTCTTTGAGTTTTGTCGAGGATGAGACTGCCAACACTTGTCCGATTGAATAATGGCTTTAGACTCGGCAAAGAATATTGTTAAAAATCATATTTTTATTCAGCCTCACTTAATGACTAAAAAAGCTTTCGAGATTTTTATGTTACTGTAAGAAATTTTGACGAATTGTGCGTGCTTGATTGTGCTATTTGTTCAATATGGTTTTTTTCGATTAGATAATTATTAGATGCACTAGTTATTGATTCTTTTTCCAGATAAAATGATGAGTAAATTAGAAGCATTACCAAATGAAATTCTTATTTTAATATTTTGCAATTTATCATGGTTCGAAAGGACAATATCATTATGGTCGTTAAATGCGCGTTTCAATTTTCTCATTTGTTTAACTTTTTCAATAGACGAGAATGGTATTATTTTTAATCAACCTGGTTTATCTTATAAGAAATGTTATTCAGGATCGTTTCCATTAATTTCTAATTTATCAACGTTATCTGTCGCTTCTTTTGTTCGCCATATGCATTTTGATGGAACAAATTCTAATGTTTGCGATCTTATTCATAAATTACTTTTTCATAACAATTTTGGCGAAGGTTTTCACTATCCTAATCTGAAATCACTTGTTGTCAGCGAATGCTTGTTGAGCGAACCATTAATTAAAAGTTTATCATGGCTAATTGAAAATCAATTGTATAAACTTACATTATCATTTGAAAAAGGTATGTACCTATGAACTAAAAATACAGAAGGACGATGAACGTGCGTTTCTAGTGGAAACAGTTAAAAGTTTTTCTAGAAAAAAATTAGATTAACTAGTTTTTCAGTTGAGACCTTTATGCAATACCTTTTAATATGTCATTATTGGATCTTCTGTTCATATATAAAAGCTCTATGCATAGGGGAAAAATCTGATTATAAATAGTTTCATAATCTATATAGGAATATTTTCTTCTCTTTAGAAGTAATTCTATCATATTTAATAGTTTCACATTGTACAAATCGGTTTAAGAAGTTTTCTTTACGATAAAACTTATCTATTCATATATTAACTTTTCGAGCGTTTTTTCGAAATTTGGCGAACTTAAAACAAATGAAAACTGTATTAATTAGATTTTCAGACTGATCCTTTGTTTTCCCCTGTAGACAGACGATTAGTAGTCAAGCAATGATTTAGTGATAGACAAATTGACTATTGGTATACTCTATGAAGAGATGTAGGAAAGTAGTTTTGATTTCTGTATGAGAGAGTAGACGTGCTGCTGGCCAAATTTAATGTGTAATCCCATAATAGAAACAAAATTACAGAGAGGAGATAAAGAAGTGGTAATCGTTGATTGAATAAACTAAATAATGAGATATTAAGATTTTGTGTGAAAATAATTTTTCCGGAGTCGTGATTGGAACCGCCAGAGAAGAAATAACCGTCGTCGAAACGATAGCTGAGTTCGTAAGAAAAGACATTGCCAGTATCACTGTAGAGTCCGAAATGAATTCTCCAACAGGGTTGGCATTTATAGACTAGTTGGGCATCTAAAGCTTCACGAATATGTTTCAAGAAACTTAGATTTTGCAAAGCGATACTTCAGAGCGATATTTTTATCCATGCTAACGATTAGAAAAACAAAAGTGACGCAGTTATTTTACACTCTGGCCACAGTTATGCTTTTTATCATTAATCGGCTTTTATTTCTGATGTTGTGCTCGTCGGTCTTTGACAGCAGATGACAACGTCTATTTATCATTCACATCATGTTATTTGTTCTAATTATTCAAACATGCTCTATTTCAAGTGAATGTTAAAGAAAGCCAAACCCTATCTGATAAATGAAATTAATTGGCTGAAAATTAAGTCGAAACTTATCTTTCTTGTTCATCAAACGACACGTGCTTCTCTCAGCAACTGTATAAAATCGGTGAAAATAGATCGGCCGTAACTCTCAATCTGTACATTCATCTCTTATCTATTTATTCAGAATCAGTAATGAAGTTCAGTGGCTGAATTTCACAATTAGTGATGAATTTATAAAGTGGTCAGATATTTATCAAATACTGATGTATTTATCAACCGAAGATGAATTTATAAATAGGCCGGTTTCATAAATTGGTTAGGTGTTTATAAACTGCTCGTGCATTTATAAATTGAGAATAGATTTATAAATGTGGAAGATGTTTATAAATATTTTAAGTTTTCTACAAAAAAAATTACGATTTATAAACCTACCTATTTCGAACTCTTCAGTAGTCAGTATGACGATTAAATCCCGCAGAACTGATTGGACTGATTTGTTTCTGTCTGTTCAGATGCATTCTAGTAGGCCAGTAGTTATGAGAAAAGATGTCAATTAGTTTCGTCTCTGATCTGAAAAATATTCCGAATCGAATTTTTTTTCTTGTGCTTGGCATGCGCAGACTTCGAGCTTTGTCCGGAGTACATGACTTTGTCGCTCAAGAGATTTGCGCGCATGAGAAAAAAATATTTGAATGAAGCTTTTTTTAGTTAGAAATGATCACAGGAGAATATTTGACGAAAAATGCCAGAAACAAAAGTTTGTTGAACACAATAGACGAAAGACAAGCCTTTGAAAATCTTGTGACGCATTTTCGAACTTTTCAGATACGTTAAATCTAATCAAAACTAACAATACAATAGAGTGTTTTAGAAATTGTCCAACATCTTTGTACGCAAAATGTATATATTATGTGGAAAGTAGCAGTTTATAATATTTTTTTGGTTGCCTTAAGACATTGCAGTGGCAAATATATCGAAAAGAATAATTCCATACATAAACTGTTTTGTAAAGTTCATGATGTTTTTTTGTTGCAATGAACTAGAATTAATAGGCAATGATTTAAAGATGTAACAAATTTAATGCCACTTTCAAATGTATTTCGAACCGTTTCAAGATCTGATAAATTCTTGTTAAATCTTTTTCGCAGTTTAGTGCCATCTTCCGACTCTTTTGAAGTTTTTTTCAAAAAGATTAATAAAGTGTTGAGGTGCTCTTTTTCTCCGTTGCCATATGATTATAATATTTAACTGATTTTAATAGTAGAAATTGCTCGATTAGCGTTTTTACATTTATTGAAATTCGAATTGACTGGTTTGAAAACAATATTGCTAGAAATAAATTTGATTTAATTCAGTAAACTAAAAAGAAGCTGATTTGAATAAAAAGATATTTCGGTTGGTAAGTTTGTACACGGATGCAGGAATAATTAAAAATGTCAGATTTTTTAATAATAAACATTTATTTGTTCTGTTTTTTCTTTAATACAGTAGGAAAACAAACGGTGATGCTAAAAAAGTTTATAAACAAGCTTTTCTCCCGTCAAAATCAACTGGTTTCTCTTCGACTTGATATTGCCAATGGAATGTGTGATATTGATATTCATCAGTGTTTATCATTATCCTCTTATCCTTATTCAAGAGTCATCTTCAATAAACGTGAATCTTATTGCTTGAGTCTTCGTTATTTGCATATTCATCTAATCTATACATGCTTCCTTGAACATATTATTGAATGTATTCCAGCTCTTGAACAAATGTCAGTCAATTTTAAAAGTTCAATGAATATGGAACCGCGATCTACGACAGACATAGAAACACTAATCAAGTCAAATGGCACTTGGTTTGATAAAGTAAGATAAATGCATTATTATATGAGTTCACCATCTAGCCGAAGTCCTTTTGAATAAAACATTGTTTAAGGTTATATAAAGTTGTCTATTGTAGTCATTGCTCGGTGTTAATTTTGTTTTTAATTAAAAAGCCTCAATTAAACATATATAACTAAGATGGATTTTGGGTGAAAAATTGAAGAAGATTAGATACACTTCTCTATCAGAATTTAGCCAGGAACTGTAAAAGCGTTTGCATGAGAATCGAACACTTTCAAATTTGGAGTCACATTCCCCAGTTTTCCTAATCGAATAGCAGGAACGCGGTATGTCTGATTAATGTCGAAAGGAAAAATGTCGAAAAGTCTGAAGACGATAAAACTGAGATCTTAGTAGTTTTAATGTTGTTGAAGAAACGAAAAATAGGCAAAAACATGTTTTTAATCTATTTGTACAAACAATAATTTAACAAAAACTATGTAACAATTAATCATTTTTTATTTTGTCCTTAGCCACAACAAACGATAATCCTTCTAAATATTCTACCAAATTGATTTCATCATTTGAATAACGATCAGCAAGAGTAATAGTACGACGTTGCACTCTTGCAATTTCTTTGATCAATTAGTCTCATAATTAGAATTTATTAGCTTAACTTCCATTCATTATGACAGTTCTTTTTTGTTCCGCAAAAAGCGGTGATTAATCTATCTCTATTATTATTCTATATCTCCACCTATATTCTATGGGAAAACATCAACCCTACTAAAATTTTACTCTTATCGTCTTCATACGTGCATGGTTTAACGGAAATTTATTATTTTAATAATCCGCTAGTGACAAAAGGAGAGGCATATAGGCCTTTGTGTTACGGTACGATGTTTATTTGACGATGCACTACATTGAATAGAATTGATACAGGTTCTGCTTAATCAAATCAAGTCTAACGTAATTCTCTTGATTTCAACCATCGACGATGTTGCCATCAACTCTCAAACGGTAAAAATACTCGATGCCCTTTAATAACGTGCAGTCCAGGTTTTCATGTCGTGTACGTCTTCGAATTGTATTGTCTGTTCTCGTCAGACTTCAGGAGCTCGATCCTTTCTTGTATTTTCACAGAAAAAGGATAGAACTGATGTCGATGCTAGCTATAACTCTGGAAAGTGTCAGTCTGACTCAATCTTTCCTCTCAAACACTTAAACTCGTTGCACACTGACGAACTATGTACTAGTCACCTAACCGAGGTATGTCACAACATAGCCAGCATGTCAACGAATGTTTGATCTGGACAATGAATTGTTAATAAATTGGCATCTGTTATTCCGTACCAGTCAAGCTACTTAATTTTCATACCATATACAGGGCTCCTGGGCTTCTTATTGACACTTAATAGTTGTTTCACTCAAGACATATGTACAATTCGAGTCGTAGATACGATTCTTCTTTACTTGTCTGTATATACCAGTTCGTTAAATAAGATAAAAACTTATCTGTAAAAACTTAGATTTGAGACTGAAGTTCCAAGGTTTCTTATTCAAAATTTGCTGAATCAATCTACTCGTGATCACGAATCACCGACTGGAGTTCAGGATAAACGAAAAGGTCAGACACTAGATAGAAACATGATAATGACTGTCTCTCTTTCAATTTTCTAATTAATTAAAATCAGAAAACTTTAAATTAGCTTTGTTTTAGAGAAACAGGATGCAAATTCTAGCACTAGAATGCTAAAGCATGTTGAAAACTTCTTGACACGTAAAGTCAAACAATACTGTTTTGTAATCATGTTAGAATTTGAAGGAGGCCATAGTCTTTAGTGGTTCATACATTATCTTAAAATGACAGATCGAGAGAAAATTTTAAATGAAATGCTCCACTAAAGTAAAAAATGATTTGTTTGCGGAAATGCAGGGTGATTTTTCTCGCTACGGGTCCAATCGAATTCTTATTCGTTTTAGTCCCTCTTATCTATTTGGGTTTTATGTAGATATAACCTATCTATAATGAAAAATAAATAAACTTTGCCTATTATTGGAGGCATTGGATTCAATTAGCGATGCGATAAAAAAGTTCCGTTAGTCGCGTTCGTGTTGGAAAACTTTCGATCCGATAAATTCTATTTATAATGCACATTTAAGAATTAAAATTTGTTGAACTCTGAAAGTTTGATGTTAAAAAGAAATTTTCATGAAGATTTTTCATTATTGCAGATAAAAAATGTCTTGCTCATTAGTCTTTATATCAAAAAATGAGCATTTGTTATTAATAGTAGTGCTAGGCTTTTATTTGAGCAGAAACCTACGAGTGGAAAGCACTGACTATGAGCAAGAATCGCTCTTGCGGCATAGAAAAAACCTAACACGAAGAAACATAAGAAAAACGAAGAGCAGAGTAGAAAGGATAACGTGGCGAAGGAATGAGAGAAAAAGACGAACCATCAAAAATGAAAGAATAAAAAGATACTTAACATCTGATGCTACTAGTGATTATGATGTGGACAGAAAGAAGACCAGCTTTTTCTTAATTCCTTCTTTTTAATTGCAGCTACCAAAATTAGAAAGTTTCAGTTTAAAAACTTTAATTTGTGATGCTCTACAATTCGCTTATTTGAAATGGCTTCTGAATAATGTTAATTATATTCGAAAACTTAAAATTCGTCTTGGTGGTAATGAAGTATCGAATAAAACGACAACTATTTGGAATTTACTCGTTGATGCTGATTTTATTCGTCAATATTGTATGCCTGATATATGCAAGAATTTGACTAACTTCGATTTTTATATCGCTTTTAAATGTGAATTACTATCAGTTAATACTGAAAAAATTATAAATTCATTTAAGATACATCCATTTTTTATTGATCGTCAATGGACAAATGTAACATGTTTCTTTGACCCGATTCTGTCATATCAACATCTTTCTTCTTCTATTGTTAATCAACTTCAATTCTATAATGGCTTACGGTAAGGAAGAAATCTCCCTATAAGAACTTATTAACGTTTTTATATAATTATCTCTGTTAGCTATTATCCGAACTTTTCCACTTGGCCATATATTCGAAGAATTTCTATTGATTTACATCCATCTATTTATTCATTGCTCCAACGATTTGATCAGCTGTTTCCTAATGTTTGGTACATCAAAGTTAATATGAGTAAGTCTTCTGTTCTTTCAGATATTTTCTTAATAACTTCTATAAAGTTTATGAAAACATTAAAACCGACGATAAATCTGCGAAATACCGTCTATTGAGAGATTGCTGTCAATCCTTCAATCTTGGTTAATATTGATGATATCTATAGCTTTCGTTTGGTTTTGCTTAGGTGAGGACAGAATTCCGGAGAAAAGGCTTCCAAAACTAAAGAGAAACAGTTTCTTGCGTCAGCTTTTCCAGTAAAATAAATTCTCAACTTGAACTCTGTGTCGGAAACTATTGAATGGTATACTTTTAATTTTTCTCATCGTGACATTTTTATGTATTACTTAGCAAAATATGAACTGATTCACTTTTGCGGTGGATCCAATTCAGTTTCACTACGCAATTAAGCGGACTGTGACTCTTAGTGAGAAAACATTTAGTTCTTTTTGTAATATTCAAATAAGTGTTTTGTGTGACAGAAAAAAGCTGGTTCTACTGGAGCTCACAGAGTTGATGCGCTCTGTTAAAAGATTAAAAACCATTAACTACTCTTAAAAGAATACCTTTGCGGAAGGAAGTGACAACGCAAGAAAAAAATTAGCTAGAAAGAAATATCTCTGCTTATTCTTGCTCATGATATGGCCTGATGGCATGTGATACTATTGATTTTCTGTTCTGAAAATCCGTCTTAAACATTTATCGTCGTCATGTTAAAAGTCTGGTGTCCAATTCTAGTGATTTTCTGATTAAACCCATCTGAAAAGCTATCGATTCTGACAGCAAAACTCGGAATATGATCGAATCTTCGAAGCAAAAACGCAATGCCTAAATCTAGTCATTGGCTATGTTCGGCTCTGACTGAAAATTAGAGATAAATCGGTCACCGAATCCGAACAATGTTTGCTTATTTTCGCAAAGTTTTCCAGCTGGAACTGACTTATTCGCTTCCAATTTGATCTGTACAAGAAAGAAGATTTGCATAAGACCAGTAAAGAGTAATTTTCTAATAAACTGAATTTTTTTAGTTCGATAACAAAAGTAAAGAATAGAAATACATGAAAGAGAGAATTTACTATGAATATCTAAACGATGTCGCATCATAAATGACTATTGATTCATTGACAAACTTTCTCAATTACTTTCGAACATTCTATGTTTTTATTTATTCTTGATTTTGCTTTAAAATAATCGAATGAAAAAGTAGAAAAAAACAAAGCTGTTATTTATATTAAATAAATTGTTTTTGTTTTAAAGTATATTTCCGAAATGGTGACGAATCAGATCGATCGGCACAATTGCGAGTGCTATTTGAAACGGAGCGATGGAATCTGATCAATATTCAATTGTCTTATGTTACCAGACTTGATTTTGGCTTTTGTTCAAAGTGTCTAGATGGTAGGTATTGGTTTACTTATCTTTCCTAGTTTTTTATTAAAATAAAATGAAAATATTCCTGTTTGGCTTTTTAACTATAGTTCGAATAATTAAAAGTACGTCCTGAGGGTACCTTCATATTAAGTTTTATTCTAATAGTGTTATAAACGTGATATTGCAAAAAAACATAGAACACGACTAGAAGTATCTAATAACATGAACCAATACAATATAGAACAAATGCATACAAAGAAACAAGCAGAAAAAAAGAAAGGTAGTATATGCCCTGCCGGAATGAACTTCACGCTACACAAACCGATGATACAATACAGTACCACAACCACAACGACCAACAGATGAATTCTGCATGTCATAACATTAAACACGCTTAGAAATAAACAATTGAAAATGAAACTTCTACTAGCCTTTGAAAATCACTGCAGTTGAAATGATATGGCGATAGTACACCAGTACGCAGGGATGAAAATCTAAAATTTACACTATAGATAGAAGATCACTAGAGGAGTATAATGGTAAAGATATGGCCAATCTATATTAGTCTACAACATATGAAAACCAAGAGAACGCATCGGCATGAAATAAAAATCAATTTTTTAGACGTAGTTTTAACTGTTCGAACTATAGTATTATTTAATAACAAATTGAAAACGTTTGAAACACACTTTCTAACATGCACTAGGATTTTTCCTAAAAATTTCATAGAACAGTTTTTTTTTCTATGATATTAAGCATCTAACCATGAAATGCCTGATTCGAGCTCGAATATAAATGAAGCTCCAACTGCAGATACTCATTTCGAAAAATAAATTAAAAAATGTGCCGGCAGCTAAGTATAGCAAAAGATTAAGTTTTGGGCGACTTATAATTCATCTAACTTGAATTGACGCTTCGATCTAAGCCTGGTAATCAAGCAAAACATTAAGTTTTGCCTCACTTAGAATTTATACTTGAGAGAAAACGGTATCATTTGCTTTTACCGATCGAGGTCTTAGTTTTGTTTCGAAAATTTCATTAATATTGGAACTCGAATTAGGCAGCTACTCGGAATACGACGATTTTCAGATCTTAGAAAATCTTGTCAACGCATTTTGTAACAGTCCCATCTTAAGGAGCAGAAAATTTTGAAGAAAATAAGCGATCATCGCATTTCCTATAACACTGTTCTAAAAAGTCAGCAGCATCATAAAAACCAGCAAAAGATTTTTTTTTGTTGATAAATTTCGCATTGATTTTTGTTTTTTGTGATGCATTTAACTTTTCAGGGAAAAGTAATAGAAAATGCGATGATTTCTCATGTGGTTCAGAACTTTATACTCTTTAAGATGATACTATTACCAAACGGCTACGACAAAATTTGCCAAGACCTGGGAATTTCCGTGTTCTATTTCTTAGAAATCGCGCCATCATAGTTCATCTAGAAAACTATCGGCTATTAAAACCATTATTTGAACTTGAACTAGACACTTAACATCATAGAAAAGAAAAGAAAAATATATTATTGTTAAACTATTTTTTCACCATTTTACATGTAGAAATAAAATGTTTTCTCTAGGCAGTTGTGATAAATCCATCGATCGAAATAAAACACGTGCAAAAATGCTTGCTTGCCTTATTTCAATGACTGTTCAACTCAAATATCTTATCGTGGAAAATTTTCAGTGGCTTTTACATGCCGTTCAATATGTAAGTATCTGTTATATTCACGATCTAGTTTTGAAATTTCCAATATAAGTGCTTTTTTATGCCTTTCTTGACCATATCTATTGCTGGAAATATTCGTATCAAATAAATAGATTAGAAATCTTTGAACGTTTTAGTGCATGATACTTCTACAAACTAGGCGACGGTATAAAAAAATCAGCAATGTAAGACAGTCTTACATTCAATTTTGTTATAAAATTTTTCAGATATATCACTTTTTTTACATGGTTTTTCTGTCATCTTATTGAAAAAAATAATTTTATCAAGAAAATAAATAAATAGAAGCATTTTTAAAGAGAGTCTTTTAAAGTAAAAAATACTTACTGAGATCATCAGATAAAATAATAGTTGACGCCATTAAACTCAAAGAAAGTTCCTTTTTTCTGTGGTGCATATATTTGTTGAACAGATTACTAAGTTGTTTTTATAGAAAAACTTACCGACGCAGCCCTTAATGGATTGGTATTTACAGTTGCTATGTTCTATTCAATTTTATTATTATTATGTTAATACATAATATGCTTATAAAGTCTTCGAAATTATAGTTCTTCACTTAGGATATAGAATTGTGTGAGAAACGCTCGGTCCTATTTGTTTCTGATTTTTAGGTGCACATTTTCCTTTCCTTTTTATCGTTTTACCTTTTATTCCTCTTCTTTTATGCAACGGATGATCATCTATTTCCTGTTTAGATTGTGCGTTTTTACTAATTTATTTATCCTATTTTTATATAATTGTTGTATTCTCTCGTACATCTCGATCCATGCTTATCTTACAGCACTGTGGACTTTGACAAGTTCACATTGGTTTTTACTTAAAGTAAAATCACTCTCAACTAACACTTTTGTGCCGATTGCAGATGTCCGTTGTGGGGGAAAATCTGTATTTACAGACTATTAACCATAATGGCGAGAAGTGAGTGTAAAACTATAGTAGTTCAAGTTCAAAAGCTCAAGTGAACCGTCTGAAAATGAGCCTTCGCTCTCGCGAACTGATACATTGTAAAAGATTTTTTCTCAGGCATTACCCTGTTGGATCTGATCAATTGCTGTTTAAAGGACTGTTTGAAAAGTTCAGTTCACTAAAATAAAACTGTTTCATAGTTCTTGAAATTAACTCTGCCACGGGCGATAGAACATATATGTACCACATTTGTTTCTGTCTCTTCTCGAGCTCCTCTCCCAATTCACACACGTTTCCATTCAAAATTCGCCGGTAAAATGGTTATATATTAATGTAACTGATCGGCCATGATAAGTTAGGCTAAATTTTTCATGAATTTTTTCGTACATCCTAGACATGAAAATCATCGGCCTATATGCAAACAATAGAGATTATCGAACTCTCTAGAACTGTGTTTAGCTTGGATTTTAGCATGTTATCTTGAAAAGACTAAGGAAATAAAAAATTAGTACGAGCAAAAACTCATATTACGACATATGCTCTGAACTCCAGTTTCTTTTAAAGTGCTGACTTATTATGAACGATCAATATTTTCATATTTGTAATCGACTATCAGCTCATCTACTATAACAATGTGTAAATTGTCGAGTAATTAGACGAGTCAAATAGAGACTATTCAGATTTATCGATCTTTAATTCAGTATTTGGTTAAATATTCGTCATAAGCATAACTACCAACTGTCCAATGTCCTTATATCTAGGGTGCTACATTACTATTACTAGTGATTAGTAATCATTTTTTTAAGTAATAAAAATAATAAAAGTAATACAAAACCAACATAGTAAAAATACTTCTAATCATCAATTAGATTTCCGCTTCCACGCTAAGACATTATGATAACGTTATATTTCATTTTCTTAAGATAAATTATTATTAATATAGCTACCTATAGGACAGCTCAGCTCAAGCCGTAAGGAGCTGAAGCTGATTAGCTATCCCATCGGACTGTGAGCTGTGGCATACATTGACGAGTCAGCATAAATCAATTGGCGTAGCAACTGTAACGATAAATAAGACTCAGTTGAGTCTATATCGTAATGACAAACTGGATAGAGGTGGAGTAGCTTACCGCTACTCTAGGTAATGATGTTTATTCGTTTATTCACATATCCAGAGTGTAACGACACAACTAGAGAGTGTCGCCTATGCCCGTCGACATGATGGTATATTGTGTCATCTGACATCTCTAGAGTGTAACAACTTCATACATAACACACGTATATATAGGAGAGAGATAGAAGAGTGACAAGAGAGAGAGATATTACACCAATGGAAAGAGAACAGAAGGAAGAGGAAGGAGAATCATCGAAGCGTGCAATCAATATCGGCACAGCAACTACCGCGCCTTAAAAACCTTGCTAGTATTACAGTTAACTCTGAATACGCCATAACATCAGCTGCACGCCAGCGATCGATACAGGCCCAAAGCGAGCGTGCAACCATGAAAAGTGCTCACAAAAATATGCTGTTCGTTTTCTATGAAAATTGTCCTTGGAATGTTGATTTATTGTTGTTAATATAGTTTCTAGCCTGTAAAGACGATTTATAGTTAAGTAGCTCTTTTCCACATTGCTTTATCATACAATAGTGTTTCTGAGAAGACCTACAAAATAATATCTAGTCAATAGATAAATTTGATGCATCAGTGCCTTATGTGTCCTTCCTGTTTCTGCCATATTTAGTTTATGGTTCTGTCATTACTAGGGGTGTCACATTTAAATTTAAAAAAATTTATTAAATCGGGAAATAAGTTTTCAAAAATTTAAATTTAAAATAAATTAAATTTTTTTTAAATGAAAAGTTAAATTTAAAATAAATTTAAATTCAAGAAATTTAAATTTAATTAAATTTTAAATTTTGTATCATTTAAATTTAATTAAATTTAAATTAAATTGTTTGAAATTCAAATTAGTTAAACTTTGAAAACTAGCAGATAAAAATAGTTTTTGACTTGATTGCTACTATTTAAAGTCAAATTTGAGTATGTTTCCCGTTTTCTAAAGTTAAAACTAGTCATTCTTCTATGATTTGTGCTATTAAATATATTTTTATGAGTATACCAGTATTCTGAAGAAGAAAGATGACGGATCCTGCGTAATCTGTAGAGAAATTTTGACTGTTATGAATAAATATTAACCTAAAATACTAGGTTTTTCTCTCATTTAGTATTTACTACTGTTAAAGTCACGTATTTCTCTCGTAACAATCATGTGTATCCATCCAAACAATTTATTAAATTTAAAATTTAAATTTAAAAAAATTTATTAAATCAAGAAATAAATTTTTGTATCAGAAAAATTTTAATTTATTATAAATTTAACTTGATAGAATTTAATTTAAAATTAAATTAACTTTTCATGAAGTTAGATTTAAATTAAATAAACTGTAAATTGACACCCCTAGTCATTACTTTATTACTAATCATTTCATATTTCCTTAATAAGGAATAATAGCAGCTCCAGTGCCATCGTAGTACTAAAAATTACAAAAATTACTGATAAAGAAGTAATAGTAACAATTATTACTGATTACTGAACAATAGTAATAAACAGTAATGGTAATGTAGCATTCTTTCTTATATTTCGTTCTAAAAATTTTTATCATCACACATATTCATGGAAAGAAAAGTTCTGTAACAGAAATGTTTTGACGAATAGCCAGTCCTATCTGAGTTCGCTGCTACTGATCACTATCCTACGCACTTCAATATTAATTGCACTGAAACATTGATGCCAACAGAAATATGTTTTCAGTTGCATTAAGCAGGTACTTGAAAAATTCGAGTTCAAGATCAATGGAAATAGTGCGGAGATCGAAAATGAGCGGGGAAAATTGAATTAGTTGATGTAATAAAATGAAGCAAATCAATTGCTATTTTATATATTCAATAAAGAGAAGATAAGCATTTTGAACATATTTATTGACATACTGCAAAAGAAAATAATCTAAGATTTTATTAATAGTTCTGCATTGAAGAAACTAAACAAAACATACATTACACATTAGTTTTCTATATCGATCATTGTTGAAATTTTTTCGTGTATGCCACTTTAGATATGATATACTTATAATTTTTAGTGGCTTACTTATTCTTTCATTTTAATTTTAGGCATCTAATGAATTAAAAAATAACCTATTGCTTACTGTTCAATATGCTGAGTTTGGTGTTGCAAGTTGTCATCGTGGTTCAAATGAATCGATTTCTGTTGGCAAAAATCTTGTTCCTTTTCTAAGCACTTATGTGCCTCATTTACAGACATTACGCCTTTGGAGGCCAGATGATTTTCCTTGGACATCTAGTAAGTAATTATATTTGAAATAAAAATCTAATTGCAACTGTTTATTATGCAAATTTATCCAGAATACCTTTTCCTTCTCTCATTTCAAAATCTAAATTAGGACTTTAATGATTAACTTGATATTTCTTTAATATAAACTAATCATCAAATCTGTTTGCTCTTAACAACTTTCTTATCGTTGTCTGAAAATATCCTGAATATATTCGACATAAATCGGAGATGTCCATCACGACTGAAAATTTGCCGTTGCCACAATGATATTCAAAAAAATGTTTTGATTTTTACGAGTGCGATTTGTTTAAACTAGAAGTACTACTGCTAATCGATTAGACTCATAAAGTCTTACACTATAACCTACATAACAACCAACATTCTGTGCAAATTCATGGATTTTTGAAGTCTCTTCCTAAAAACGCTAATGCCACCGCGACGGCATTGCAAATGCCTCCCACGTCACGATGGTTTTTAAAGAAATCTGCCGCACAGCCATAGACATCTCTGGAATCTATTAAGCTTGTTAGTGTTGCGAAACAAAATCGAATGTTGTGAAAAAGATATATTTTTTAATATGTTGAATGTAATTTAACATCAATGATCAACTTCTAACGAAGATCTTATTATTTATTGTGTATAGCTGAAATAGTTTTCAAAATATTTATTTCCTCTATTTAATAGACATTTAATGAAAAATTTTCCCTCCTATTTTATCATCAGAAATTAATAATACAGGAATTCAAATTTCATGAAACATACATGTCTTTTTCGAAGGAAAATAGTGAGTCTAAATTGCAAGTCGAAATTTTGCGACTCTCTCTCCCAATGGATAGGTCTGTAAAGTAAAAGATACATTTCGCCTAGCAATAGGGAAGCCGGATGATTCATAGTGTAATGGATAGGTTCCCACGACAGCCATTAGCAGACGTCACTAGCCTTTCCTACGGCTTCTTACCAACAGACAGAGGAGTCACAGGTCATTGAATACGAATTCTCCCTTAATAACTGACTGGGAAGAGTAGCAGTCCACAGTTCAATAGATGCGTTTCCATTAGCAACAAGGGAACTTAGCAGATAAATGAATAAGTTTCGTCTAGCAAACAGAAGGAAAGGAGTTTTCAAGGCTAACAGAGATATTTCATCTAGTAGTCGATTATCTTAAATTTTGTTCTAGACTACACGGAATATGTAAATTTCGCATTTTAGCCCTAAAATAGTTGCAATAACAAGCTTTTTTAACAATATATACCAAATAAAGCGAGTCTCAGCTGCGAAAGATTTCATTTTTTTTATAGAAGAATTATTATTATTTGCTCGTATCTATTGTTTAATAACGATTTTAATTTTAAAGTTTTTTTAAATATCTTCTATTTTCTTCTTTTACGCTAAAATATATACATATAGAATAATAAATACCAAACACAAATGAAAAATGTTTCATCAAGATATTTGTCTTATTTTATTTAATAAAAGAAATACTTCGAATTGAAAAGCTTGACTATAATAAAAACTTCACTTTATTGTTTTTGTTCAAGTTCGACCAGGTTTCAAGCTAGACTGTCGGTATGCAGCTTTGCTTACACAATGGCTTGATTCACTAATAACTCCTCAATCGATCGGTATGTAAATAAAAAATAAATTTCACTGTGAGACGATAAAATAAATTTTAAAAAATCTTTTGTATTTAGCTCAACATGTAACTATTTTCCAACAAGATCTTTGTCAATTGGCTGAAGAGTTGAAAGAATTGTGTTTTCTTGATATTTATGGCGCAATCCATCGTGAAAAAGTCGAATCTTATCATTCCATGGTTAAAACATGTTTTCCTAATAGTCAAATTTATATTGGAATATCAAGATTTCGTCTTTGGATTTAATAATTGTACGTTAAAAATAAAAAAATATCTTGTAAATAAGTTCTTCTCTTATTTGTTTATCTTTATTCAATAAATAATAGACAAACAATTCTTATACGAAATAAACTTTTTTAACAAAAACAAAAATTTCGACTGATTCTGTACGATGAAATAAATCTTCATTGACTGTCCTAGAAATTAAAACATTATTCAAATTATGGTATTATAAAGAAATTAAATTCATCTTACTTCACAGATGTACCATATCTAACCAATCGAAAAGTTAAAGATTTTTATTCAGATTGTTTTTGCCGTTTGTGTGCTAAAATATGTAATTAATGTCAAAAATAAATCAGCTACTTCTGTTCTATATGGCGATATTAAATAAAATATGAGATATAGAAACAACGAGATATATCATATTTAATTAGACCTATTAGAAATCATGAATAAGTAACGCAATTTATTTATGTTTACTGGCTCATTCCGAGAGATTTTATTCGCATCAAACAAATAAAAGTACGTCCTTATTAATGCGATGGGAAGCATAGAATTTATGCAGTCCGTCACGAGTTTTTATTTTCTTTTACTTTCTCGGCGCACAGATCGTAAATTGTCATTTTGTGATTAGATGATCCCGTGAGCAGAAAATCATAGAAAACTCATTGAAACGGGAGATTAAAGTATCGAGATCGAACTTCTGACATATTTTTTCTATTCTTTAATCTGATATTCCGTTCACTCACAAATATCGTTCCAAAACGACGAAAATGAAAGGAATTTGTCTTGAGATAATTAAAATGACGTCGTCAACATATGTTAGCCACTATAGTCTACTGGTTTACAGCTGATCTAAGACAATGAATCACGGAGATAATTAATCGATCTTTAAGAAGGTATCACTAAGTATGAATAGAGTTTTCAGAGTAGTGAATAGCATTATGGCTACATAAAAAGTATTCAATATCTCTCTGAATTGAAGATTTTTCGTGAAGATTCGTATTCTTACTTCGCACCGCATTTCGTATACGAGTGCAACTCAGATACCATCTGGTTTGACCATCAGATCCACTTTAAAAGACTGATAAATGTAGATGACAAAACAAATACTCACATAAGCATCCTCTTAACCATTCTTCCTCTTTTTTTGGTTGGAGCAGTCTCAAGACTAATGAACATGGAAGAGAGAAATATTTAGATAAACGCAATCGTAGAATATGTCCCTTTTTTATCGGAATAACTTTGTAATCTCATCTAGATGTCAATTGAGAACATTGACGAACCCTACAATTTCCGCAAGTCATGTAGATTTCTATTGAAAACAATCACGAACTCTACAATTTCTGTGACTATTGATCATTAACGTAAGATAAATATACCGCACCAGTTTTTTTCTTTTCGTCATTTTCGAACTTTTAACTTTTAAATCGTTTAAAAACTCTGTTTAATTTTGCCTGCCACATTTCATCTTAATACCCAGGTCAATGATTCCGGAGGACGGATACTGTAGGAACCGGCCGGAAAGACGCGGAAAAATCACCGTATCTGGCCGGAAAGCATGGGAAAGCACTGGAAACTGGAAGCAGTATTCCAGTTGGAAGTTACCGGATTTTTTTCCTGTGGATTCCGGTCAGTTTCCTGTGTTTTCCGGTCAGTTTTCTGTGTTTTACATCTGGAAGTTGATCGGAATCTACAGGAAGAAAATCCGGTAACTTCCAACTGGAATACTGCTTCCAGTTTCCAGCGCTTTCCTGTGCTTTCCGGCCGTACGTCCACGACCTGGGTAGTGATAAAGTTTTTATTATAGAAATAAAGATTTGAGAGGCCTTTAAATATTTTCAATAACGTCAAAAACTTCTTAAACTCAATTAAAAAATAGTCATTTTTGTCATACGTCTTATCATGATTTAATTGGTCATATTCAGCAGTGTCCTTATTGTTGATCATGGTCCCGGTAGAGTAAGGAGAAGCGAATGCAGACAAAAAATTAGTAGTCATTCATATATTGCCTATAATTTTTTTACTTTTAATTTTTCTGAAAATTTTTCTTCTCAAAACACCTAGCTGAATCTCTCCTCTATCGATTGATGAAATTCACTTATCTACAAGGCGTTCGTAGAGTGCTACTTTTTCGATTATACACACTCATCCCATTTGGATCTAATGTATAATCCTGTTAGCGCTATAGGGGTGAATGTAGAATCTCAGCTATATTGCACATAATTATTAAAATCTAATTTTTATACGTTTAATATGATATTTTTTGGTGATTTTTTCACTAGCAGATAGTTCAAAGTCTTTTCGATCATCTTAAACTAATCTTAAGGTTATAACTCAAACGAGTGACTGCTAGTTTTCTGTCTGCATTCGCCCCTCCTTACTCTAAAAAAGAAAAATAGATAATGATTATTCTAATCTCTAAAGATAAGTTTAAAATAATAATCTCCTACAGTAATACAACAACACATTACATTAAAAACTTCCATAGCAGAACTCATTCACTTACGTGATTATTGATGATGAATAACCAGCTGATCGAATGTATAAAGCATTTCTAGGAATTAATGATAACGATTTTTCCAATTTTTCCATATCGTACTGTTGATTTAAGATAAGTTCTTTTACTCGTTTTATCTCATCATCTTGAATACACCATTGATACTGAGATTTATCTTGCGTTGATAGATCAATAACCATTAAAGCCAAGTTAAATGTACCTGCCGGTGATCGCCAAGCAATACCAACTAAACCTCGTTTAATCAAACAATCGTAATTTATATATATACTAGCCGATTCAATGGTGTTCGGATTCTCCACAACTAGTAAATAAAAATAATGATTTTATGTATAGATTTATTATAAAATCACTTTTAGCTTAATTAATTAATCACTAAATAAAACTTAGTGGAGTAAAAGCGAAAAGCCAATAATCCTTTCAAGTCTATTCGATTTTCATAGAAACTAACGTGCGACTCAAAATAAATGGTCGTACTTCGCATATAATATTCTAATCTCTAAATGAATTTTATTACAAAACAACATATACCACAAGATGCAGTGTAAAAAACTGTATAATCTAGATAGTAAAGCTCATTCCAATTGTGTACTCTTTGTTCTCAAAACAAAAAAGCAAAGCTTTGTGCAACCAATTTTTAAGGATGCCAAATTGATCGTGCAGAATTTTGCTGTTTTTGAAAAGAAAATTTACACAATTAAAACAAGCTTTGCTATGAAGATTGTAGAGCTGTTCACGCTGCATCTATTGGCATAGGCTGTTTTTAATAAAATGTCTTTAGAGATTAGAATATGAAATGCCAAATGCGACTATTTATTCTGGGTCACTCGTTGGCTTTAAAACATAGTGAGATCCACCGATGGATCTAATCGACTCGAAAGAGTTAAAGGAGGTCCTTCTTATACAAGTCATTCTTTTCGAAAACAATTGAGGCTGAGTATTTATCATAAGAGGATGCTCCTGAGTTAGTGGCGGATTCTGGAAAAGGTTTTGGAAGGAGTTCAGCCCCAGTCGTTGCTGCAGGTTGAAATTATCAATATTCTAAAAATCCAGACATGGATATATTTTGAATAATTTTTGATGGAAGTATGATAGAGACCTGAGAGCTTCACCACTGAAAAGAAGAGGTAACAATGCATAAAATCCATCTTACCAACTTTCTGACATGTTTTCTGAAGTTTCTTCTGATTTCTTAAAAAAAATGCACTTTTTCAAATAAACCCTTACGATTAACTCTGAGCAAAGTGTAGCAAAAGACGCACTTTTTCTGCTGATTTAATCCAAAAACTGCGTCATTTCGCACAATAAATTCCTGCAATTCATTATGAACTGCTTCTGATGGTGTTCGTCCTGCTTCCTTTTGCAGATCTTTGATCAATAATTCTAATGTATGTCTGAAAATTGAAATTCTATTGTGGTGACTTCATTCTCTAGATGAATTTTGACAAGGCTTAATCACAAATTCCGAGAAAATATTTCAGGAAATCTATCAGAGAGGATCCGGTGAACCGTCTCTTTCTATTTCGAATAATGCAATATTATATATTGTCTTTTATGAATCACTTGATAAGCATACTTTTTCTGACGTTACACTCACGTGTTTTGGTCGAGTCTCCTTGCTTTTAACTCACCTTGTATATATATATTTTTTTTTCGAAAAACGCAAGGTTTTAATAACCTGACCAGAAAATATTGGGACTTTCCTGTCGTATTTGTCGAGACATTTTTGCAATTTTTTAAAGTATCTCGGTATTTGAAAGACTGCTTTTCTATTTATATTAACATTGAACAACCGTTTATGATTTATATCAATCAATAGACACCTGCCAATGCTAGAGATAAGGAATAAGGGTCACATATTTATAATTGATCTGAGATGCGCTTTACATAAATCATTGAGATATATTATGGAAATGTCATTTTAATATGTTCTTTTGAATTTGAATAAAAAAATCGATTTCTATATTTATTTATCGTTTTCCTCAAACATGGTTTCTGATCAGAAATATTGAAATAACTTTTACTCGACTCGCACGAGCTATAACCAATATTCTTTTTATTTTAAAGGTCTGAACGACTAAACTTTTGTTCGATAAGATTTTTTATAGTTGACTCATGGGTTGAGAAAAGTCGAATTTCCTGTCGTTGGACTACCGTTTTTTATGCTGATTTTCGGAACATATTTACAAAATGCGCATAAAAAGTGAATAGAATGGAATTCCAAAATTCTGTTCGGACAAAACTGCGCACTGATATTGACTGTAATTGCAGACTAACGCGAGTTCTATACTTCGCATAGCAAAGAAGTTATAAGAATTCCAAAAATAAGCTATAAATTAGTTGGAAATTCAGCCTGGAATGACTTATATGGATGAAATTTTTCCATAAGCGTATCTCACCATAGCCACTTATTTTTGAAAGGTTCAATCCAAATGGACTATTCTCAGTGGGCAATCGATTCTGAGGGAACTTCTTAATTTAACTTACTTGAATTAGCGTCTTCTTCTAGACTAGGTAACACATATGTAGCTGCGTCCAGGATCGTTATTTGATTAGTTAGTTGTTTGCATAAATAAATAGCTTCTTCTTTATAAAGTATTTCTCCGTTGTCTTCCATATTAGTTATTGTATTAATAATTTCTATCGAGTTTGATTTTTCATACAATAAAGACAATGCATCTCGCATATTATTATCAACATCTAAAGTATCACCACCCGCAACGAACATTTGAACATTTGTTATGTGCATTAAATCAGGTTGTTCGGGTAAATTAAAAGAAGTTTTTAAATTCGTTTTTATTAATTCAGCTAGATCAATCAGTATATTGCTGATTAATTCCATTGCTGATAATGATGATGATTCATCTTTTGGTCGCCAAGCCGAATGTTTCAAAAAAGCAAATGACGAGTTTTCAAATAAACCATCAATTAACATAGCAAAGCAACTAGATACACTATCTGTTACGATGATGTGTCTACTAATACCAGTTTGTTCTTGTCCTACGTCAATATAATCTGTAAAATAAAAATCCTTCTTTATTAAAATATAATTCAAACAATCGGCTGATTAAAAACCCAAACGAATAGAATTCTTGTCAGTATTGGATATTAAAAACTCCAGAGTTCTATTTATTCAGTTAAATATCAAGAACATATATTTATCTTAAATAATCTCAGTTGAGAGACTAATAAATTTTCCAAATATTTTTTTATATTCGTAACTGGAATAGTCACATTTATTTTCGTAAAAATCTAAACTAACGGAAACATTTTCTTGTCCACCGAAACCTCCCATAGTGAACACTTCGTGGTCTGACGGAACGATCTTTGCTGAAATTGAACCTATGTATAGTGGACACATCCATATAGTGAACATTTCCTTATAGTGGATACTTTTTCACGGTCCCTTTTTCATAAATAATCTCTCCGTAGTTGATACTGATTATGAATTCAAAGAGTATGTCACGATGACTATCATTACTCATCCCATATAATGACTCTTTATTGATCGGACGACAGAATAAAAAAAATATATCTTACTGGAAAAGATAGAACATGCCCTTTGTCTTGAATAAGCGAAATAGGTATATTTGTAATCGGATTGTAACATTTGTGCCATCTTTCTACGATTATAAAGAGAAATGAAACCTTATATACTGATATTAGCTCGTCTATTCGAATTTTCAACGAATGAGATGATGATGAACATCTGAAGGATATGGTTCAGGTCAATGAGGAAGAGAAGGAAGATGATGAACATATCTCAATGACTGAAAAGTCATTAAATTTACCTGAAGTAATGGCAATCATGAGAAAGCTTCATCTTTTCGCTGGTAATCAACAGTCTTAGCTGCATCATCGCATGTCTGATCTTGCATCGCAATTAAGTGACATTTATCTAAACTTGAAAGTAACAAAACCAAGTTCTATCAAAGATTATCTTGAAAACTGCTGTTTTTTTTGATTTTCAAAAATAAAATACAGAGAAAGCAAATAAAAATATCGTGCTCTATCTGATTATCTCATTGACTAATAGTTCTTTTACTACCATTAATTGAGATCTTAGAAGATTCTTTTTTTTTCTTCGATAAATCTTTTATGATTTACCTTCGCATGCAACTAGCTGACAACTAGATGATATGATGCCAATTTCACTTGATACTTCAATTGAATAGACACCTGTATCTTCGACCGAACGCTTTCTAAAATAAAAGCAATATTTATTTTTCTGTCACACTTATTCACATAGTTAGATATATATCAGAGACCGAAACGAATGACAAAAGTATCATTCGGTCCGATTCGCCTTTTCCTGGCCTGGATTCGGATTCGATTCGCCTTTTCCGGTCACTCAAAAGTTTCATTCAATTCGATTTGGCTGAAAAAACGAAATCGAATCGAATCGAATTGATTTTTTCATTTTTTCCAGCCGAGTCGAATCGAATTAAAATTTTGGGTGACCGGGAAAGTCGAATCGAATCCGAATCCTGGATGGTATGGAAACTTTGAGACACCAGAAGAGCAGAATCGAATCTGAATTCAGACCCGGAAAAGGCGAATCGGACCGAATGATATTTTTGTCATTCGTTTCGGTCTCTGATATATATACTTTGATAATCAATTCAAAACATTGATTATCTTGTGTTTGTTCATAATTATCACTATCTTGTAATTGAGCATGATTTTTAAACCATTTTACTTCAGCAGATGTAGAACTTTTAATACTACATTGAAGTACAACACGATCACCTTCTAGATTTACAAAGATAATACGAACAAAACAAACAATTCATAACGAAATATTTTGCATTTTATGACGTACTAAAAGCAAATGTATCATTTAATTTCATTAACAATGAAAGTTTTAAATCACTGTGTCCTTCATTTGTTTTATTTTCTGATCCGGAAGTTTTTTCTTCAGACATTTATAATATCAAAAACTCCAGTAATTAATGATATAGATCTAATGGAAAATAAGAAAATACTTTTAATACAATATATATTGATGATATATTAATATATATCAGATGAAATAATTTTGTCTATTATTTAAAGAATATTTTATTGTAAATTTTTTTAGCCAAATCGAAAAACATTTTGGAAAAAGATCTGTTTATATGATTCATTGATTAGTAGTAAATGAACAGTAGAAATGAAATGACGTAAGAATAGATAATAGTTGGTCACAAATACGTACAATCGGTCATTATGTTTTCCTTCTGTTCGATATCGAACAAAATATATATCATTTGTCGCTTTAATCAGTACGTCATTTCATTCAAGAAAATGACGAGATTGCTATTAGACAATGAACTAATAAAAATGCAAGGTAAAATCTTCATACGTTTCAAATTTTGCAACTTAATTTTTGCTCTCAAAATGTTTTTTTTGCTTTGAATCTAAGAACAAGCAATCAAATACGAAACGAATGTAGTTCACATTAGCAGCAATATTTAGAAATTTATTTTCATAAATATATGCTTGAATGAATAGAGCATAAATAGAAAATAAAATAAATGAAACAAGCGTTGGACAATACTTGCACTTGTTGGTCATAATCCTGAAGTAATAAAGAAGAAAATCAAACTCGTACAATATATAAGATGAATATTTTCTAGGATTTCTTAGAAAATTGATTTAATTATATCATTTATAACTTGTGATAGATTACCTTGAAAAATAACAATAACAATATAATCGATTATTTATATATGTTTTGAATTAATCGTCTCATTGAATAAATAACTGATACGCTTGCATGCCTACCAATTTTATTTTTAGTTTAATATCACCGAGATTATTTAGATAGAAAATCAATTAGTTTTATTATATTTAATTTCCAATGAGTATTTTTTATCGTTAGTAAAAAGTAACATATCAGACAGAATATATGATTTTAAAGAGAAAAAATATTTAAATGGATTTAGAAAGGCTTTTAAAACTTGGTGAATATTCTGTAAATGATAGATCAGTTATTATATAAAGTTCAAGAAAAATAATAAGTCAATAAAGATAATTAAATATAAATTATCTTCTATTAATAGTTGAACATATTTATAGATTATTCGAACGACTAAATTAAAATTTTAGGGATAAACTAAAAATGATTGGTATACTGTATTAATCGATACCTTCACTTTGACAATCTCTGCTCGTCTTATTATTAATATATCTCAGTTTATCGGTTCGTCTAAGAAATAAAACGGATTTAGAATTTGCTCTAACAACATTAAAATTATCTCGTTAAATATTTCCATGTAGAATTTTTCTCATTTACTTTTTACAGAAAAACAAAATTCTTGTGCTTTTATATCTTCGATATTTTTATTTTAGCTAAAACGAATTCTTAATTTCTGACAAGAGTCTATATCGACTTGAGACATTTTCATACCTGTTTATTCATTTTAGATCAATTATTTAAATAATTATTATCATTTTATATATTCTTAATATGTTTGATTTGAAATAGGCAGCACGCTACTCCGCTCTGTTAACACTATCATTAATTAGACGTTTTTCAATTTTATTTAAACAAACCGATATTCATTCAAACGGAATAAATTTTCATACTGATGTTTTTTTTTAATTTGTTGAACTATTCCGTATAATATATGTCTATTTCACAATTGTCTTGACCTGATTTCATTTTTTTCCAATTGTAACAATATTAACACTTCATGAAAAAAAGTGAAAAATAAAGTAAGTGATTACTCACCTTTTGGACTATTATTTGTAGACAAATGAACTCTATTTGAAACGTTGCTTTTCAATAAAAGTTCACATGGATATGACGACACACCTAAGTTCGTTATTTGACAGCTGACGAGAAAGCAACTAACCGAACCAATAAAACTTTATTTCTACTGATAGAAATCGGCTTCTTTCGTTGGTTCGTTGTGAAAAAAGCTTGAGACTTTATTTAAATTCTATATGATACAATCAGATTGCCAATGAACTTTAAAATGCAACTATTCTGCTTTTCATTATCTAGGGTGTGGGTGTTGATGTGGATGTGAGTGAATGACAGGAGTTTGACTTGGTGTTATAAAAACTACGACGAGTTTCATTACTAGACCAGAACTCTATTGAATCTCCATCGATTAGGCGACTTGAGTGTATAGATGTGCAGGGTAAGCTGTTTTTCATACTGTGTACTTTGATTGGCCAAAAAGTTCTGCTATTACCTTACCGTTCAATATTTGAACCCTTATCCTGTCCTAATCTGTAAAACTTCTATACCTACCTTCTCCCACGAGGATGTACGTGTGACTGTGTATGATCAAAAAAGGAAAACTCACACCCACACCCTCAAGCTAGAGATAAAACTCATTTTATTTTTGCAATATGTACAAATAAAACAATTGATTACTTTGATTAAAGAACGTTGATGAATTTTCACTTATATGGATATATTCGTTTGTGAACATTTTGTCATCAAATGTTAATGTAAGTTCATCTAATTAAAGTTCAATAAGATAAAATAAACTTCGAACTACTGGTTCAATTGATCCACATCGAATAAGAATAAGAGATTTAAGATTTGGAAAATTGAGAATATTATTATTATTCAATAACCATTCATAATTAAGATCAGAAGCAATTGAATTTGTTTCATCAAAATGAATACGTTGAATAGAAGAAGAAAAAAGATGATGATTTTAAAATTAATAAAAATAAAGTCGAACATTTATTATAAAGTAAATCTGACGTGATTTGAAGACCAGTGTTCAATCGACTATCATTTATAGAAATTATTGAACGCACAAGAGAATTGAAACGGCTATTTAATGGCCAAAAAGACGTTAACATATCAAACCATGATAGATAGGAAACAATATAATGAAAAACTTCATCTGTTAATGTTTCTATACTAGTTCTAGAAATCATTTTATCTAAAGAAGAAAGTTATTTTACGCTGAGGATGTGGGTTTTGGACAGATTCAGCCCTTGACTCACGCCCACACCCTCGCTATAGAAACATATGAAAGAGCAAATGTTCATTTTGCTACCAGATTTTCTATTCTCGATTTTATTTGTTCTTCCAGATTAAAGAAGTCAGAAAACACTTTCTTGCTAATATAATATACCAGCGAATCAATCAATAATATGATTGGAAGCAAGAAATAAGCAAGTAAATAATATTCAGTTTAAGCTTACTACATTTGAAAGTATACACTTTAAAAATTAAACTTCTAGAAGAATATGTTCTGTGAATGATTATAGATGAATAAAACGTTTCCTCATTGAATGAATATGAACATCACTTATTCAAAAATGATGTACCAGTTCACATAGATCTAGGACCAGACATTTACAGACGCTGGTCAATCGTGGTCGTCAAATTTTGTTCCATGTAGGATGTGTTGCAAGGAAGAGAGTTTTAAGAATTTTCACACAAACTGTTTAAAGAAAAATGGTCTTCCACTCTCAAAATACTTGAACTTTTCTGAGAATACTATCGTTAAAAAAGTAATATTTTCATAACTTTCATATCTGACTCAAAATACATCGATTTGGCTTGGAATTTTTACTGTACAGACATCTCGAATTAATGTACTCACGATAAAAAAAATAAGTTCAAATGAGTAAACTATTGATAAATTGATCAGTGCTATCAGGTCACGAGAAAATGACCATTTGAGGAGGATCTATTCGTTTCTTTGTATACATAGCTTTTTTATTCAATCAAAATGAAATGTCGAAAAAAAAATAGATTAAGACAATACATTCATTTCTTTCTTCATGCAAGCGGGGAAAATTCAATAAACATATTTCTATTCAGTTCGATGCAACAAAAATGTTAAGCATTCGGCTGTCCAGTTCATGATGAAAAAGCCAGTGCATACTGATTTTTTCCTCTTGGCGGCAATATAGCAAGATATATATCAAAAGTCGGCTCTATCATTGTCAAGATTTCTTGGGTGTGAGGATGAGAACTTTCGCACCCACACCCTAGTGGTGTTCGATATTATATCTGTTCTTATACATTATCCAAACACAGCCGTTCTTTTGATAGAATCTGTATAGGCGTTGGTGCACGTATTTCAGTCAAAGAGCAGTACTAAGGCTGTTCAAATTTCATCGCGTCATTTTATAAATTCAACAGGAAAAAATATTGACGAAAAGAATTCTTGGGAGCTACAGTTTTTCAGCGGTGGAGCATGTAGTAACGTTGTGTTTGATGTGTATTACTGTGGCATGATAATTAGATGGAATAAGCGAAGTTAAAAAATCTGGTTAAAACTATCTTTCAACACAACTGTGTAAATGTAGACTGCTGTTCTACTGAAGATTCAGTTTAGTTCATATTTTGAATTTAGTTGAGTTATACTGTGATACAATATCAAGTCAGTACTTACTGCTTTAGAAGCAAACGATATCGATATCTCTGTTGTGAGGGATGGGCATTAATTTAAAAACGAATGATTATGGTCATTTTTAAAGCTATTGTTTGTCATATCATTCTTCTACTGACTATAGATTCTAAACGACAGTGGTGAATGTGTTAAACAAAGTATATCGTCTTGTCGATGCTTTAGATCCTTCGAACAATGTTTGTATTTTAGCTTCAATTAATTTTTTTTCTACAGTTATGTTAACTTTATAAGTGGCTCTTCCATGCACATGCGAACATTATGTCTACTGTTAAGCACTATTTGTCGAACACAAGAAAACATTACTTTAGTAACAATCTGTATGGTCGATGCTGTCCAAAAGTTTTAGAGCCTTATATTTTTCGTGCTCTGGAAACACTAGCCACTGACGAACTTCCTAGACGACTATTCTGAAAACTTGGCTTTATACTTTAACGAACTTTGGTCAGAAAAGCACAACATGCAACAAAGCTAATAGTATATTTGTAATATGCACGATAAGCCTAGTGGAATTCTGAATGTCTCAAAGTTTTATGAATATCCGTTTAGTCTCAACCACTATTTTCCCCATATTCGAGAAAAGAGTACTACACTTGAAAAGCCCATATAGGTCTTGTTAAAATCTCAGGGTAACACTTGGGAACCTTAGTTCGTCAGCAAAATTCTCTAGGTTGTGAATGTCCAATAACTAGTTTGATTTCACTGGATCTTCTTTTTCAATGAATTTAATCATTCAAATCATGTTTATTACTAATTCGAAACAAATATCGCGCTTGTACACTGTGAATGTGAGTATTGTCGTATTATATGCGTGTGGCATTTTATTTTGCAAAGATGCACACGCAGACTGGTACTATTGCCTCACATCTTTACCCAGATTCAAACCGACTCACACCATCGTTTGGCCATAGATAGATCTCAGCAACACTAGAACAAGGTCAAATCGTTGTGCTTATCATTTTTTGATACCCGCATGCCATCAAATGAAGCTCTTGTTCGATATAACGCAGAACGAAGTCGTCTTGAGGATTACACGATGTCACAAAATACTTCTGCCATTCGCTCGAGATAGAAATTCAAGCCATATCTGTTCTCATTAATAGTCGTTAACTCTCCATGCATTAAGTTAGAATTGATTAAGTTTTCTCCTGTGTTCCTATCCTATAGATTGAACAGAGTAAAAGTCAAGCTACATTAAGCCAGTCGAAGATTCGTCACATGTTTATGTTCGAAGATCGAGCAGAGTTCATCGTCACACAGCTAACTCGACTCGTGTTGTTTTCTCGACTTACGAATTGGTTAATTTTCAGCTCATTTTTTAGTTTGAAAAGGCTTTCGTAACATAAACCTTCGCTTTTGATTGTCGAAAAAAGCAAGACAAATCAATGCTTTATTCTTCAATCAATACCAAATTACTAACACTAAAAGATGTGATCTAGACAAAAATCACCTCGTCGTCCAATGCAATTTATGGTGGACTGTTATAGTAAAACATTCGATACGTCAGTATATTGTTGCTTTTTAAGACTTCCACAAAGGAAGCTCGCGTGTGATACGACGATTTTCATGATAAGTTATGTCAGGATTTGGATCAATGAGTCCATAGGCGAATAAGAGAATATTCATACCTGGCTAGAAAAGAAAGTGCGCTAAACAATGTTGAGCATGAAACTAATAGATATTACTTCAATTGGAACGTCCATGGAATCTGTTGTATTCAATGCGCGCTTGAATTGAATGGCCGTCCAACTGTTTTCCTCTCGACCTTGCAAGCCAAGCCAATCTTGTGTTGTTGAGTCTTTGACTGGCAGTGTAAAGCCAACAGCATATCGGTCCTGTTTTGTTTTGGAGAAAAGAACGTGTTAGATAGTTTCGAAATCAGTTAGCTTTACCTCAAAATGCAATTGCCCATTTGCATCAATCCAGCCAATAGCCATGTCTGCGCTCTCAGTCACTCCATCGGCTCGAGAAAAAAATTAAGAAATTCCTATCTTTTATGTAAAATTTTTTTTCCGCCGTCGAATGTCTGAAAGAGAGCAATCAGAGGCTGTTGTTCTCTTATCACTATTTGATGTCATTCAAATAGGAACAGAACTACAATGTATCGAAAACTAAAGAATATTCAGTTGCGCTAGACTAGAAAATATTAGCTCTAGATGAATAGAAAAACAATGACAGCTTGTGAATTCTGCTGCTTCGAAATAGTTATTGGTATCAGTTACCAATTATTTCAAGACTCATTTCGAAGATAAGATTAATTTAACGTTATACCTGCTGCAATACCAAGCGCAATCCATCCTGTCGTTCTGACATGCAATTCGAATATGATTTCCTTGCTGCCATCGTTCACTGTCCACCACAAATCTGCAACATTCTCGATGAGTTCGGTTCTGTTTCGATATGTTGCAAACGGTCGAATAGGACTCGACATACAATGAATATTGCTCGCAATTTGGAGCAAAACCATTGCAGTAAAGAAAAATGAATTCTGAATAAATGAAAAGCTCAGCTGTTGATATTGAGTCATATTCAACCTACCGTCATTCTTGGGTCTCGAGTTTTTGAGAGATGCTTCTGTAGTGATACCATGAGAAAGATTACAAAGTATAAATAGTGGATTATCAAACTTTTCGTATCGTTAACATTATCATATGATTTACTGGATTATGATTTTTAACAAGAACAAGCATAATAGCGAAAAGAATGTCAAAGTAAAAATGCTAAGAGAAAGGTATTAAAAGAAGAAAAAGTTTGCTTTTGTATCAACAGGGCTCTCATATGACTTATCATTTGTTTGCTACCAAATATTGCAAAGGTTTTACTCGCTTTAAACATTTGTCTAATAATTGACCGAGAAAAATAGAGAGAGAGAGAGATTGTGAGTGTGACTCTTCTCTTTAATCACATCCTCAGTCGCACGCACACACACCCACACCCTCAGAAAACATATTGAAACAGAAGAAAGACATTCAGAAGTAGAAAAATAGAACGAGTAATAAGCAAGACATGAACCACTGATGCTCCGAATTAATTAGAAATAGGAATAGAACCAGACTCGTTTTCAACAGAATCAGTGTTATGTTTTTTGCCTATTTAGGTTGCAATAAACTTTTTTCGACTCACGAACATCTTAGAAAATAAACAAAGAAATTCAATGTGGCCGTTTAAGCGTCTGAAGAAAATGCTTGCCTTCGTACATAATTTTAAAATGCTGCTCAATGTTTTAACGCCGACAGCGTTCATGCCCGCGACTATTATTCAAAGTTATAATTTATAGAGAGCATAATGAGTTGAATTCTCCTAGAATTAAGTGTTAACTCGTTAAAACCTGATTATCCTTCTGTAATGATACTATTTTCGGAACCGAAAATTCTGTTTCTGTATCGATTCTCTCCAATAGGTAAACCGTCATCGAATATCAGTTATGACATTCTTTAAGGATTTTGCCATCGAAGACGGCCATGCTCATGACGATTGTTCAAAAACGAAGCTCTTCAAAGATAAAAAAAACACCATAACATATTGTTAAAACAAAAGATGATACAGCTTTTCTTAACTCGGCTATAGTTGCGTAGTTGATCTTTCTTCGCGAAGCAAAAACATTTTGAGTTTTACTTTATAGCTTCTTTCAAAATAATCCCATTTATGCCTATATTTTTTGGAAATAGTTCGCAAAAGTAAATGAGACAAGTTTTTTTGAAAATTACTTTTCCCGACGTTCTAATTTTGAAGCAAATTAATGCCTCTTATACCGGAATAAATGTTTTTTTAGACAAGTTTGGGTGATCATATGCTTGAAATAGACTTCGCAAAGAAAACATCGTTCAATAAACAAACAAAACATTTATAAATAGTCTCAAAATGATAAAATTGGTAGATTTTATTATCCTGGTACAATATTTATTCTGCTTTTGTGACTGTGGAACACTGTCGACTTCCCAACTAGCCGAACAAATACTAATAACAACATTATTAAATGAATATAACAAAAATATCAGACCAGATGATCAAGTATTTGTTGATGTCAATTTTGATCTAGAACAAATTGTATCTATAGATGAAAAACAACAAATAATGACATCAAGTTCATTTATTTCACAAGTATGGTACGACAGTCGATTATCATGGACACCAAATGCTACAAATAATAATATTAAAGTAGTTATGCTACCAGCTAAAAGTTTATGGATACCAGATACAATGATATTAAATTCAGCAGATGCAAGTGGTTATCTCACTGTGAGTGATTATAGTTTAGCATCTGTTAACTATACAGGCGCAGTATATATGATAATACCAGCACTAACAATAAGAACAAGATGTGACTTCAATGTTCAAAAGTTTCCATTTGATAAACAAATATGCACTATCAATTTAACATCATGGAGCCAAGGATCCAATTGACTCACATATAGAAAAAAGTGCAGTGTAGTAATTGTTGATACTAATGACTATACTGAACATCCTTTGTGGAAGTTAAATGGAATAGATACGATTGTAATTCCAGCAGAAGATGGAGCACCATTTGAAGAGACTTACAATGGTATAATATCAATACAATTATCTCTCGAAAGAAAACCATTATTTTTTATTATGAACGGTATATTTGCATGTTTCGTTTTAAACTCTGTTACTTTGTTATCATTTGCATTACCGTTTGGATCACAAATTGGCCTATGTAAGAATTGTTTTTCTTCAATATACTAGATCGAAATTATTGTTGCCATTTTTAGCTATGACAGGTTTTTTGACATATTCTATTTATTCATTAAATTTTTTCAATTTATTTCCACAACAGTCTACATATTTAATGATGATTACATTATACTTTTTGTTGTCCATTTGTTGGACACTAATATCAATGACATGGTTTATCATATGTAATCATTTTATAACAAATACTAAAATGCCAAAGTTAGTTTATGCTTTTTGTGGATTGTTGCAAAGAATGTTATTTTGCTGGTGTTTACCACCAAAAGATGACGATAAGGAAGATATAATGAAGGATGTTATTGTTAAGAATGGTGAGATTAACGAGCCTGGGTGTGAATACAGTATCAACATTCAAAAAATGAAATGTGTTTGCTGCCAAAAACTATTTTGTTCGTGTTTTCAAAAAAAGATTAAAGTGGAAAGCATTGAAAAAAGGCAGGATATTTCTCTTGAAGCTGCGGAATCTGTCACAACAAACGAGAATGCAAAACCAACATGCGATTTCTGCAATAGATGCGAATCATGCCAAGCTGATTTTGATAAAGATAAAGCAAAAGGAAAAAATAAAAAAGACATTGAAGCTAAATGCAGTGCGTTAAATTACTTGGCCTTTCTTTGTGTATTATTATTCATGTTTATTTCTAATATGGTTGTTAATGTCCAAGTGACTGATTTTAACTTTGACTATATTTTGCATGTTAATAATAAGTAAAGCTGATAAGTTAAGTCATCCCATGTACCCAATAATGGATAAATATTGGAAAAATGAGTCAGCATTTTCTATTATTTCCTAAAACTCATCAAGTAATTAATTATAACGTATTAAATGTTGCATTTTCCATGCATTGTAATGCATAAAATCAGAATAGCTTACTAATGAGCAATAACGCATTATTAAGAAAATATTTAAAATTTGGGTGTGGGTGTGAATTAGTAGAGTATAAACGCCCACACCCTCGAAAATACACACATGAATACATTTATAAACACGCTACATATTTATAATTTAATGGTTGCTCATCTTCTTATTATTTCAATAAAACTACTCATCGCTATCACTGTCGATAGATTCACGTACTGATATATCATGTGTCTCTTCTGGTGATGAAAATGAAGTTTCTATTCTCTCTTCGTTAAATATATCTATTGTGGACCACCAATAGTGGTGTAACTTCATCATATACACCTCTTCAATTAGGGCTAATTTATTATTTGTTAATCATCTATATATTTGTTGAATTATTTTTCAAATACAAAATTGCTTAAACTTTAATTTAAACATGAAAACAATTCTTCTTAATTTGCAGGGCATGGCAGGACAAAGAAATTCTCAAATCATTTTTGTCCTTCCAGGACAGGGCGCGCTATGATACAAAGCGGGGCAGGGTAATAAAATTGACCCTGTAGACATCTCTGTTAAGTACTACGGAAGTACGGAAGTCGCGCTTTTCCCCCTTGACTTATATACGCAGATAGTGCTATTTTGATATCTATTTGAATTTCGATTATAGTCGAAATTCGGTCATGCTATAGCATGACCGATTGTTTCTCTCGGCATACATTCATGAGAATCGAACGTATCACACATGAAGACATGTCAGTTAATATCAATTAAAATAAGTCGATATCGATGATTCTAGATCACAAAAAACGATAGAATTAAATTGGAATCGGCTTGTACTTTCTGACCTAAATAACAGAGAGTATTTGCATTTATTCTAAAGATATATTTATACATCATCGCCCTTGCAATCAAATGATTTAATCAATTATGATATGATTTTTTATGTTCTTTGCAAAAAATAAATGTCATCAATGTGCGAAAATCAAAATATGACATGTGGCTATGGCAGATGTCATTCTTAAAAGGCATTGAATAGATTACTTTTTTCTTATAGTTATATATTTTATTTTTCATTTTCCTATCGCAGCGAATAGAAATTAATATTAAAACCAACACCGTTCTACTAGTATATTATATCAATGAAGTCACTGGTTACACTTTCGTTATTGACATGTATGTAAGTAGCTATTTCAATAAAATCCGTAAGAAAGTTTTGAAAGTAAGGAATATATACTTTCGTATTACATGATAGGCAAGATATTGAAAATTGAAGAATAATTGAATTTTTTCATTTTAGCGTCTTCAATGGAGTTGCATCCGGTATGTGTACTGATTTCATGTAGTCGCACTACTGTTGTGCCAACCTTTGTTGATAATAAAAGAGAACAAAACCAAAACTCGAATTTCAGAGGATTATAATTTAATAATGTTCTACTACAACTAGATCCAATCGCAAATGTATATAATATCTTAAACGGCAGCGATCGTTTCATTCAATATCATTCTTGTCAAAATTGATAGCATAAAACAGAATTGTTGCAATTTTTTTATCCTCTGTCAATCCCTTATAGATTTGTATGAATGTCTTTGATTTGTTAGAAATTAATATGAAAATGGCAATATTTGTTGAGACTCATTCTGATGAACCAAACTTCCAATCAAGATTGGCTTCACTATCACACTAACTATTTCATTATTGACCCTACACTAACATATTTACGTTGAGCTTCGTTGCACTTTCGTATCAGTTTGCCATCGAGACATCATGTTCATTCTGCAATTCTGAACAATGATGCATAAGAAGCCATTGGTAGTCACAACTTGACTCAACTTCTGGCCAGTTCTGAAATATACGATTCATCTCTGAACCAATGGACAGCAACTGGAAGAATAGTGACAGTGCGCGAATATCATACAGCGACTCTGCTCAATTCGGGCAAAGTTCTTGTCGCTGCTGGTATGTCACTTGCTGGCTATTTGACTAGCTGTAAAGTATATGATCCATCCACGGGTCAATGGAGTGTGCTTGCAAGCATGACAACAGCACGCGCTAGCCATGCTGCAATTTTACTTGATTCTGGCAAAATTCTTGTTACCGGTGATGAAGGATGATCCAATTCATTGGCTAGCTGTGAAATATATGATCCATCAACTGCCAAATGCAACAATGCTACTGGTATGATAGCAGAACGTTGTTATCATATTACAACACTGCTCAAATCAGGCACAATTCTCGTTAGCGCTGGCTACTGATATACGGGTAATTTAGATAATTCGGAAATATACGATCCACTGACGGGACAATGAACTCCTTCAGCGACGCTAGCAGCAACACGTTCTCTTAATACTACAACCAAGCTTACTTCAGGCAAGGTTCTTGTGACTGGTGGTGAATCATAGAGCAATTCTGTTACGCGTGATTTTTCAAAATGAAAATATTCCGCGTCCGAAATTTCTACAAGCTTTAACCTGTCCTACACAGGATGTTTTCTCACTTGGTTTTGATTTATTCTAATAAATTTGAAGGAATGTCCATGGAATCAGCAAAGATTAATTCTCCGACAGTGTGGGTGTGGATATTCTCTACAAATACACATCACACCCATACCGACACACCCATGAAGGGATCATATTTTTCTCCGTTTTGTGGTCATATCATCTCGCTGCTAGTCCAGCATCTAACGCCCACCTACCCACCCACTCTCAACCTCAATCTCAAGAACTGAGATTAGTAGATTGATTTGTATCCTCGTATTGATATAAGTCGATCTGTTGACAATTGATACGTAATTTTATTTCTTGTTTAAGAAAAAGGTTTCTTCGTCGCTTTGGGTTTACAAATAACGCGAGTCACTAAATAAACATGGAGTAGGTAAAATTGCAACTTTTGCCATCATGGATAAATGCTGTATAATGAATCGGATGCATTATAGAATACATCAATGTTTGTTAAGAAGGTTCTGTAGTTGTATATTATATTCGATGAGCTTTTCGAAGCACGTATATCAGAATAGAAATCACTACACCAATTAGAATGTATACAATTAGAGGAATGCTAAAAAAGAATGAAATGATAGCGAGAACTGACGCCTTAAGAACATAATATAATGCAAGCAGGTATATAACCGGCGCTAATATCAAACGAAACTGAGCCAACAATGAATTTACAGATCCTCCCGGTTGACATTCCAAAATAGAACCAGAAAGAGCGAAACAGAAGTATAAGTAGAAAGTTATTAACAAGAGTTTTGACTCTTCACCAAACGTAAATGTCGAGGGACTTCGCAGGAAATTAAATGTACTGCATATTAATATAGAGTTCCAAGTTCCACTTACGGTGTAATCGACCAATCCGCCGAGGTACATTCCTAATAGCTGCGCTACATTTATTGAAAATAGATCAATGTAAGAACCAGGGATTAGGCTACACAGAACTAAAACCACGAATTGAATCAATGGAGCGTACCATCGGCCAAATGGGCTTAACATCGCATAACATACTGAGAATTCCAGTGATGGCTGGAAGACAAATGGCCGTAATAATTTTAGAAAAAAGTTACGTTGTAAAAAGTGATCTATTCGGTAGTAGTTATATCCTCTTTGGAGTGGCCAATGCTTTTGGTAGAATGCCTCTGGTACCTAAAAAAATGAAATGCTGGATTATCGGTAGAATTTGAAGTAAAAACTTACTTTTCTTTGTATCCAACAATGATAACAAAACCACGAAGTTTGATTCTCATCTGAACTCCAGTAGTGTCGGTCCGAGTACGTTGCATGTTTTAGATGTCGCGCTTCATCAGCAATTGTTTGTATATATCGTGTGCCGATTTCTTGTAGTTGATTCGGCTGTTGGGGCGAAGCCAATTTCTCGAAATAGATTGTAACGTTTGACAGGTTCTTCAGTCGTTCAATGACACGGGGTATTAATTCTGCCCATTTGAGCGATGATATACACAAAGTTTCTACACAAGGAAAAGTCTGGCATAATTGCTCGACAACATAATAATCATTATTGAGCAGTGGATCATTGATTTCAAGATTTTCAATACATTCCAAACGTATTTTATGAGATTCTTGAAGAAAATATGAAACTTGAGTGTTAATTGATAGCGTCTTTAGACGGGGCATAAGTTGAAACATCCATAGAATTTTTGAAAGTTCAATCAAAGTAGATACTACCAAACATTCTATCGAATTCATATCGATGAATACTGATAACATTTCCAGTGATTCAGAACTTGCAATTTCTAACTTCTTCATATGACGAAAGTAATATCTGATTTGCTTTGGTGATTCATTAAGAATAAAATGATTAATATGATCACAGAAAAGTGCTTTGTCAGTTACTGATGAATATAGAGGCGGTCGAAAAGATGTATTAGTACAAACATCAGAAAAATATGGCACCGAATACAAACCATCCCATGTACAAGCTACAAACCATCGTTTTTCTTCAAGCCAAAATGGTGTACGAAAGGATTCGACAATATCTTCGATCCAATCCATACATACAGAAATTTTGAAGTTGAATGTTAGCAGTGAATGAGCCATTTCTTCCCATGATTGTCCGTCAGTCATATCCAGAAGTCCTTTTGTAACTAGTTCAAGATGTTGGAGGTCGGGCAAATTCAACATAAGCTGATTCATTTCTCTTAATGATACTGGTTCACCTAAACAATTTACAATTTTAAGAAACTCTTACAATTATGTAAACAATATTACTCTACAGGTGGACATCAATTACGAAGGATCAACGAACGTTACGAGTAATATCATGAGAACAATTGATTACATTCACTTTTTGATATCACCATTTTGCTCAATTAATTCGATAATTGATATGACTCATTTTGTAGCATACTCGAGAAAGATATTCACAAAATTTTAATCTTAATAGCTTAATGACTTTCATTCGAGAACGGAGAGGTGTCACATATCCGAAATATCAGGGATGCTAGAGATGCCAACGGAGGCGCCGACATACAAAACTATTAATAACACAATACCAATACTATGGCTACATAGAATTATTTAAGTGTGTTCTACGTCTCTGCGTGAGACGCCGCATCTGTCGCACTTCTCCACAGAGAGATGCCGCATATCTGGCATCTGCATCTCCCGATGAAAAAATATTTTTCGATTTTCAAGCCCTAGACCCCATCGCATATACGTCGAACTTGGAACTTGAATTTTCAACTTTCCAACTTTCACCTTATTACTCTGACACTACTGCCGAACCTTTGGTACATGTGTGTATGTAGACGAACGTATCTCCCTTCCCCGGCGCCCACACCATTGAAACTTGAAACTTGAAAGTTGAAGTTTCAGTTGAATTCAAGTTTCAAGTTCGACGTATATGCGATAGGGTCTAGGGCTTGAAAATCGAAAAATATTTTTTTANTCTACCAAGTCTGGTAATATACGGAAGTATGTGCGACCATGATGAAGGTTGAAGATTGATTAGCCTCATAGATCGTAGTCGTGAGAAGTCTTCGATTCTGAACTGAGAGAAAAATGAAACTGATTGATTTGGTGTATCGTTATCATCCGAGATGGCCAAAGAAGTAACTTGATCAGGTTTGATACGACTGCATACAAGGTCGAATTGGTGCCTTGTAATTGACTTGAAATCAAACCCATAAAACACATATTTATCTAATATACTATCGATGTACGGACTCAAATTGGAAAACGTTTTGAGAATTTCATGAGCAGGGAAATAACTTAGAATCATATATATAATCTCTACTGGTAAATAATCCAACTGGAGATTCGACATGATCAGATAACTGTGAGAAGAAACGGCTGATTCTATTGAAGTGGATTAAAGAACTACTTAGACAATGTCTAGAATCAAAATAAGAAATATCACTTTGAGAAAAAACAGTTTGTCCATCTATCTAAACTTACAGAAATTCAACTTACACTTCCTTTTATAATCACGTCGACAAAAAGAATCCAACGTTTTTATTTTTTGCCCACGAGCTGCTACACGACAATAAATACCAACACACTGTTTACAGCTGACTAATATACTTCTTCCGTTCTCTAACTTACCTATGAAAGAAAATTATTTTTCATGCTCGACTCCATTTAACTTGAAATATAGCTTGCAAGGTCATTTACGAAGTCGTATGTGCGAAATTGTATTTTTTTTCTGATAACTTTAAGTGAAAAACCAATACAATATTGGTTCCTTTCTAAACAGAAGCTACGTCAATAGATGATCTCAATGAAATTAGAGACATTCACGAAATACAAAGCAACCTGTTTTCTCGGTAAATTCCAACTTTGCCGAATTTTATTTTCGCCGACTCCAACTTTGCCGAATAAAAATCTTGACCAAAAAATATCGAATCAAATTTGATCAATTCTAGATATAGAATTTTATCTTAACTAACTACTTTAATAGTGACTTGATTAATTAACCACATCTAACTTGGTAACCAACTGACTTGGTAGTTAAGTCAGTTAAATCTGTTGTGTGGTTTAAACAGATGTCACCAGGTGAAGGGGTTTGTCTTAGTTTTTTATGTAAAATACTTGTGGCGATTTACGCAAGATTTTTATTTTCTGGGAAGTTCAATAGTTAGACTAAGACTTATTCGTGAATGTAAACAACCCAGATCGACTGATCCGATATCGGATTCGATAGGAACCTGGAAATATCCTACAATCCGATACAATTCTATCGGATTCCGGGTCGAGGAATCGATGTCGGATCCTCAGTGTCGGAATGCTATGAACTTCCGATGATATCCACCGGTTTTTCGTTGGAATCCATAGGAATACGACACTGAGGATCTGACATCGATTCCTCGACCCGGAATCGAACGATAGTTCTGTAAGATTTGATAGGATCCAATAAAATCATATTGGATTCCAGTCGGATCGGATGGGTTCCGATAGGTACCTACTGTCGGATTGCTCGACCTGGGTAGCGCTTAGGCGGAATTTCGATAAAAATATAAACAAAGATCGAACGGACACCTCTTATATATTTTATTGTTGAAGCGCCATTAATTAAGGAAAAGATTGTTCCGATATTAGTGAATAATTGATTAATTTAGTCTTTGTTAGATAGAAAGTTTGAAATTTCAAATTTTGGATGGCACCCACAGTGCTATATTATATTTGTTTTCGTCATACTTTTCTCTTTCTCAATACAAGTTGTAACTCATGCTAAACATTTTACGTTCATAACGTTGTTCATTAGAAGTTTTTCTTTCCTTCTGTCGCTGCTACTTACAACTCTATGCGTCTAGATAGCGACTATTCCTTTTCTGTTCTGTTACGACTTACGAATGAATGGAAACGAAAGTATAACACTTATTACATCTTACGTCCCATCACACTAGTTCGATTTCAAAATAAAATAGTCTTATTAAAAAAATTCTAATCTTAGATACATTAATCTTGAAATTTATAGTGATAAAGTTAATTTTTTGCTTTCTCTGAAATTTTTTGTATTTTGCAATTTTCTTGACTGAGGTGAGATCTAAGATCTCAAAAGCTAAATTTCGTCTTTCTCTTGTTTTCAGTGAGTACTAAAATCAAGTATCGAATCGCCGTATAAGTTTATTGATTTGCTTTTTATCTCAATTTAAAATAAATGCAAAATATTTTAACAAGTAAAATCCTAGTCTGTTGAAATAGAATAATCGAAAGATCGAGCAGAGGCTTAATGTCTCATCTTCTAGTTACAGTCAACCTCGATTTTTTTAAAAGAAACTCTTCACTTGAAATCACAAAAAAAAATTAATTTTATAGAAGTAAGAACTTCGGTTTTTGTGTCTACTGAATATTTTAGCATTTATATATGCAGTTCTTTTTAAAAGAATTTATGTTATTACGCATTTTGAAAAGCATGAAAAAAGTAGCTAGAGCAAACAGAGGAGATAAATGATGTCTGTAACGATCAACTTGGATTGGAGTAGCTCGTGCCACTCTCGGCAAAGGGTGTGGGTGTGTGGGTGAGGGTGGGGTGTGCGCCCAGGTGACCAAAAGACTAGTAAAAAGACTAGTCTTTTTTCTAGACAAGTCGACCGTCCAGTCTAGTCTTTTTCTCAAAATGTCCTAGTACAGGACTAGTCTGAAATCTCGTATAGTCCATAGTGCCCATCCGGACTATGAAAGTGACTGGAGTCATTCTATTTGTCATGCGTAGTCTTTTTCGAAAAAAGTCTAGACAAGCTGTACCATCCTGACGCCCGTCAAAAATATGATTCTAAATAAAAGTAAGAGCGTCCATGACGCTTTACATGACGAGTTCTGGTCTTATATAATGACGAGATCCTGACTAATCTAAACTGAAATATTTTATGACTACAACTATATTCGAACACACATACCAACTATTACATACTCACCGTTCAGACCATTGAGCCATTTGTTCGAGAGATCAATTTATCAGTATTTCTAGTCATTCTGAGATGCTTTAAAATACGAATTTTTTCTAAGTTTTATTCAATTTTTCATATGAATAAAAAATATTTTTTTATAAATTCAAAAATTATTAAGACGAAATTGAATAAAATAAATTGAAAACTGTGGTTATTTTATCTCATGTTTTTGTCTTGTTTTAGTCATTAATTTAGCAATTCAGCAGGACATTTTATTCAACAATCTTTTTCCTTCTAATATTTACTTAGATNATTTACGTTTTAGAATATATACATAGACATAAGGCTTACTGTATTATGGACTGCCGTCAAGACGCCAGTCTGATTTTTAATAGTATTATAAGTGTCTCTAATGGTCAAATCCAGCTTTCTTCTCCCTTTTTACAATATTTTCCCCTGCTGTGGGCTAGTCCAGGTGGGGGTAAATGAATAAACAGACCAGTCTAGACGGGTAAAAGGACATACGGACTAGTCAGAGCATAATGCTCTGGAATATCTTGAACCAGTCTAGACGGGTAAAAGGACATACGGACTAGTCAGAACGATGCTTTAGAATATATTGGACTAGTCTAGACGGATAAAAGGGCAAACAGACTAGTCAGAACGATGCTCTGGGATAGCTTGGACCAGTCCAGACGGGTAAAAGGACATACGGACTAGTCACAATAGATATGGAAGACGTATTAGACTAGACTTAACGGGTATAGCAGACTTTTTGGACTAGTCATGTTGCCCGTCCTCCCTATTTTTTGCTCGCTTGGGCGTGTGGGGTGTGGGTGTGGGTGTATTCACCAATATACGGTAATCTACAATCACATCAATACCTTCACCCCCACCCTGACCCAGACCCACACCACACACACACACCCACACCCAAATCGAACAAAACTCAACTCTCAGTGGCTTCCGCTTATCATTTTATCCATGCATTCATTTTTTGATAAGATGTAAGTCAGCAAGAAAAAGTTAGAGAAGAACAAACCAACAGATTTTAAGTATAATGAAATTGACGAAAGAAAAACACTCTTAAATCAATTATCGAAAGTATTAAAAATATCTTAACGAGTGTCAATCAATTTGATTCGCTTTGCTGCAGATTTCATTTTACTGGGCTGAATGTTTCTTTCCGAGCCAAACATACAAAGTAAAACGGTTTATTCGATACGACGAACCATTTCTTTTCTCTTTAAGCATTTTGATAATTGGACGAGTAGATGAAGTGTCTCGAAAGTAGAATTTGGCACCAGATAAATGCTCGAGCCGTTCGAGAACAATTATAATTTCACTCAAACTTTGAATTCGTACTATTAAATGTCGAACATGAGAAGGTGTCATCAAACAAACATCTTCTGCAGTTAAACTTGATATGTCGTTTGAATATGGAGAACATAAATCAAGTGATAAAAGATTACACATTTGTTGAAGCAAACTGGTCATTTGTGCTAACATATGTGGTTCAGTTCGACAAATCAATGCACATGAACATTTGAATCGAACGATTGCTGTTAAATCAATGAGCGTTGGAACAAAGAATGCCCAGTTTGACAATTTATGATACTTGAAGTCTATTTCCAGTTCTTCCACTTTGAGAAAGAGAGGATGATGCATTTCTTCTACCTGTAGAGGAACCAAGATAAATTGGTCAATTAACATTCCCCATGTCATCGATTTTTCATCAAGACCAACGGTTCTCTCCGGTTTCTCAATATTTAACATTTAAAAAATAAGTTAAATGATGATTTAATTTTTTTATGGTACAAAAAGTCAACTATGACTTTAAAAAGTGTCTATTTTTACACCACAGTGAATTCTGTTAGATGGCCTGACTAATTTATTCATTGGTTCACTTATATAACCAATGACTATTTTTAGAGCATCATCTTTAATAAAAATTCAAACTCGAAAACTAAACACTTATAGTCGACTTGGCTGGTATACTAGCGACTTCCGCGCGCTCATGAATAATAGGGCTTTCGATTCGAACCAAAAAACTATCAATTTTCTAAGAGTTGAAAAACATAATCCTTCGCGATGCAAAAAAACTTTCAACTGGAGAACCGCAGTTAACCGAACGGTTAACCGCCGGTTTTCGAGCGGTTCGAGCGACATGGATCATGTCAAAATTTGGTTTTAGGTACAAGAATATAACTAGTGCAAATCTATGAAATTTATGATTGAGCTCTGTTCTCATGGAGTTAAAACGAATAGAAGATTGCTCTCTTGATAAGAAGTCTTTTTCTTCTATCGGATCAATGATTTTCTGTGGTTTCAGTAAATTTAAAAGCTTAGAATCTGTTATATCGATATCAAAATTTTGACAAAATCATTGTTTAACAACTCGTTAGGCACTGTATAACAAAAAAGATTTCAATACTGATACTGATTGTTACCTTATTTGCGATATCATTCGGATAATTAATTGCCACGTCGAGCTGAATTTTTCTGACATTATCTATGATTGATGTTTCCTTATCAGTATTTGTGCCAGAAGTAGAGAGAGTGATTTTCTTTGATTCAACTTTATAATGCAATGAAGACAAGCAAAGTGGAATCGAATAGAGTTCGACGCATCGAGGTGAGTCGATATCATATCCACATGCGACAAACCATTTTTTGTGCTCAAGCCAAAATGGTGTTCGGAAGGATGCGATGATCGATTGAGCATCTGCATGAGTGTAGTCAACATCTCTGGTTTGTTCAAGAAAAAACTCAAATTTGATCAAAAACGGTAAATTCGTCTGGATGAACTGTTCCCATCGATTGCCGTCGAAAAAATTTCCGATACCGATTAGCTTAAAATGGGTCAATGAAGGCATTAGTGAGAGTAACAATTCGAGTGTTTCAATTTTTGTAATTAAATTTTCCAAAGTCAGTGAATTTATATGTCTAAATGGTGTTGTTAAAGTATTTGTTAAGACAATCACATCTCTTGTGCCTTTTAAAAAACTTATAGAAACTTTTTGTAAAATAGGTGAACACTGAAGAATGCTGTACGGATACAAAATCCAACAACCACCAATTCTTAAATGCTGAATCATGCATTGGACGGGCCAAGCTAATGGTGGTTCCCATTCATCCTCGACTTCAAATCGACGAAGATTTCTTTGAGAAATTATCCACGAAAGAAGTGCCACTGTTGACTTTCTGTATCGTAAATCACGTTTTTTGATCACAAGTGAAAATGTATTGAGAAAAGTAATATTGACACATTTTAAGATAAATTTGAAGTGACGTTCTTTGATTCCATTTAATGTCAATGAATGCAGTTGACTAAATTGTTTGGTATCAAAATGTGAGATAAATAAATCAATTTTATATAATGTTTCATCATCATCAGAGAGTATCAATGCAATCACCTGTTGAGGATCAACTAAACGACAAATAAGTTCAAAATATGGCTTTGACATTTTTTTTAAATCCAAAACAAATTTTTCATAACTGTTGGTACATGTTTGAAATCGTCGACATGTACGGCGAAGCGATGATAAAATTGTTTTTGCGTCGAGATTATCAAATATTCGATGAACGATTTCCACTGGCAATGTTTCAAGGGATGGAATCAGATAGCTCGGCATTAGATGGAAACTTTCAATACGCATGGAAGAACCTTCAATGATCATTATATAAAGGTGCGTCAATACTTATCGATCTTGCACAACCAGAGCGCAATATACAACGTAATTTCTTATTCTATAGCAAAGTGTGGAAAGAAAAAAAGAATCATGTTTTAAGTAATCATATCTGCGTAAATAGTTAACGAGCGAAAACTTATTTTAAATGTGCTTGTACTGTTCCCTCTACTGAAAGAAGGGTCCTACGAAAAATGAGTTAAAAGCGTCCGTTCGTAAGTTCGTTCGTTCGTACAGAACAGGGCGTAGCGTGGGTGTGGGTGTGAGTTTCGATGGAGTCTGGTTGGGCGTGTTGGTGTCAGTGTTGTCTCTCTTTATCTGCATCCGTGAATGGATAATGACACCAAGACACCTAGCCAAACTCCATCGAAATTCAGACCCACATGCACACCCTGTTAGTGTGGATGCAATTTCGGCACGGATGTTAATGTGCATGCATGTTAGGTGTGGGTGTCATTGTGGATTCACGGATGCAGATAAAGAGAGGAACAATGACACCAACACTCCCAACCATACTCCATCGAAACTCACACCCACACCCACACCCTCATGCATCTATATTTGATTCTCATAAAATTTGTTATAAATCCAACACGTATATGGAGTAGTTCATCAAAATTCATTTGAAAATGGATTGTGATATAAGGTACACTTTCTCGAAATATTCGGTCACGAGTTATTCCATTATGAATCGAACAAAAATAGCGTAGTTGTATAATAGAAGGAGATTATATGTTGGAAAAATGAAATTAAATGGATAAACGACTAGTCATGAGTACCGACAAACGACTAGATGCTCATGTGAAAGACTGAATGAATGAATCCTTGAAACGATTGTGATTGATAGAAAAATTCTCTACTGACTCGATCCGACCGAATGCATAAATTTGAAAGAGTAGTGCAAAATTGAACAAACGTTTCTTCTAAAGATAGTAGATCATTTGAAAGTGATTTCTTGTAGAAAATATCACTGATCTTACTTCAATTAAAGTAATATCCTTTCTCTCTTAACTAAAGGGAGGATTATAGAACGATATTTTTGAGCAGAAATAGAAAAATAGGGACTACACGAAGTTAATCAACAATAGTAAATCTTGGATTCAGAATTTTGTTCATTTGACGTAGTCAGATAACAAAAAAATTGAGCAACATTTAGTGATATATTACATCTACTATATTCATTCTCTTTTCTTTCAAGTGATATCTACATTTCCATTAGAATGCTCGATGTTCATATACATACGAACGTTTTAGGTATCGTTTGATAACTGAATTTGAGTTATTTTTGTAGTAATTCGAAAGACATCTTTGAAGTAAATCATAGGAATTTTCTTTTACATAATCTAATATTCGGAAGTTCTATACTGACTGTAAATTGACAGACCAGGACATTTCTAAAGATCTCACTCGGTCCTGTAAATATCTTTGTTAGAGACTAATAGAAACTTTATTGAAAACTTAGCACCTGACTTCGAAATTTGCATAGACTAATCTGAAGTAGGACATCATTTCAGTTTAGATGCTAAAACATATATATCAAAACAAAAAATTCTCATTAATAAGATAACATCTCATTCATATTTTTAATCATATTAAACAATTGTTCTTTAGAATACATAAACCTATTCATTCACTAAAAATTGACTTAAATCTTCTTCAAAATAATTTTTGTAAAATTTCAATTAAATATACGAACCATATTTGATATAGCTTGCACATGTTTTGGTGTAATTAATGTAATATCAAACGTTGCTTTAAAAATCGGTTCATCCCAACAAGGCAATGCTCGTCGACAATAAGCCGGCTGTAAATTAAAAATAGAGAAAAAAAGTCGAAAGGCAACGAAAAATATTTTACTTCAAATTATGTACAAGCACCATAAAGAATTTCTTTGCCATCAGGTGTTGTATATTTATTTCGATAGAAGCCAGTCATACGATCACTGATATCACCTGTGAACTTTAGGGACAATTGATAGTCACATGCCTATTTCAATATAATAAAAAAATGAAAATAGAGTTCATCTGAAAACAACAAATCAAAGTTACCCTACTTCAAGTTTATTATCAAAGCTGATTTCTACACGTTCATTCTCTGGATCCATGCGAATTTTACCTGTAAATTCATCTATCAAAACACAAACGATATATTTTAACTCAACAATAAGAGACTAAAAAACTTAATTTACCTTTCGCGTTCAATGCTATTGTTGCATAATCAATATGTAAATCAGCAGCGTGTAGTACCACAGTATCCGTCGACAGATTGAACTAAAGCAAAGAAAAAGTCATTTGATCTTTTTATCAATTTTAATTTTTTTTTATAAACAAATGAACCTTTAAATAAATAATCACACTTCCATTAAATTTAAAGATATCAAGAAAAGGTTGTATTGTTAAATCATACTGTGTTGGTACAACCGTTTGAGGTAAACGCTTGAATAATTTCTTTGCTCCTTCATCAACCATTTTTTTAATTGGTTAATGATTGTGTAAATAGTAGGTAAGTACAGTCTACGACAAAAATTTAAGTGAAATTGATTTTTCAATATTTTTTCTCAAATTGTTTTCTTCATATTATTAGGTATAGATTTGATTCAAATGTTTGTACAGATAGTATGCGAGCTTAGCTACATCATCTATTAACGAAAGACATTCTATCTTTTTATATAGATTTTTTATAAATAAAATAATTTCGATCTATACAAAAGTAGATTTCGACGTCCTTCGGTATTTCGCATTTCCTAGCCAAGAGACTTGTGCTAAAATAAAACCAAATTATATCAACCGACAGAACATTTCATGTTCTACCGGATTATAAAAAATGCTTTCCTCGGATCCATCTTCACTTTTAAAACTTGACTTTAATGAGAATAACCGAAAAATACGCAAAAAATGAAATTCTTCTTATTCCATCATATCACAAATCAGTGTGACGCTAGCACGGCGGAGCTAGCACGATGAAACAGAGATTCAACTATAAGTCTTCTCAGAAGTATTGGCGGCCCATAAAAACCAGACCATTCGACGCAGAATTTAATTCTGGATAGGATGGTGATACTTTTATTCCCCAGCAATACTTTGGCAAAATTCTATCTGGTTTTTCTTGTCCTATTTAGAAGAAAACAAAGGTGTAGATAAAATTTCTTCCAAAGTATTGCTGGGGAATAAAAGTATCACCATCCTATCCAGAATTAAATTCTGCGTCGAATGGTCTGGTTTTTATGGGCCGCCAATACATCAGAGAAGACTTAAAGT